AGAGAGAGAGTCACTCACTGAAAGACAGACACTGGGAGAGACACAATGAGAGACAGACAGATATTCACTGAGAGAGAGAGACATTCACTGTGAGAGAGAGATACTCACTGAGAGAGACAGACATTCACTGAGAGAGAAACAGACAGACAAACAGTCACTGAGAGAGACAGACAGGTGCCATTGAGACATTGTTATGCATAAATTGACTGCAGCTTTCGCCCACAAAAATATTCACAGTCATATCCCTTTACACCACAGCTTTAATTCTCCGCTGCCCCACACCTACTCGAGGGACAGCAGGAGCGGCCTTGTATGACTCTCCCTTCACTTTGTTTGACCTCTCTCTGAGTACATACCAAGTCTCTGTCACGACAGCACAGTTAACACCATTAACTTATGAATATGCTAAAACATTGTTGAGGTGAACCCATGTACTTGTGGGAGTGCCATGCACTGAAACTTACTGAACATGCCTTCCTCATAATCCAACCCTGTAGCCGTTTATATATAGTACATAAATATGTGTAGGTATGTGTTTGCACGGTTGTGTGTAAGTATGGTGTGACTGTGCGAGTGTGTGTGTATATATATAGTATATATGAATGATGTTATAAGTTATGTTTTGAATAAACTCATGCCTTGGTTCCAACAATTTAGTTTTCTTTTTCACTTGGCAATGAAAAGAGTGATCAACAAGTGGTCTAAGAGTGATACTCTTAAAACAACAGCAATAAAATGCATTTATTTTTCACTTCATCGCGAGGACGTCCCAAGGCTCTGAACAGTTGAACGTTTGCACCCGAGCTGGGGGTTGGATACATGAGGATAGGGGCCAAGGTGGGTAGGCATGAGGGAGGGAAGCTGACTAAAGGCACTGTCAAAAAGGAAGGTTTTGAGATGAACCTTGAAGTAGGTGAAGGAAGTGGCGAGGTGAAGGGATTCAGGGCTGGAGTTCCAGAGAGTTGGAGCAAAAAGGTTAATAGCCAGACCAACAATTGTGGGATGATGATGGTGTGAAGCAGGCCATGCCAGCAGGGTAGAGGGAGCAGGCAGGAAGGTAAGGTTTTAGAAGGTCACAAACGTAAGGTAGGGCAAGACTGGAGGATTTAAAAGTGAGGATAAGAATTTTGAACTCGATCCTCTGGGGGATGGGAACCAGTAGAGCCTGGCGAGGATGGAGGTTATCAACTCCCTCTGTTGCAGGCGAGGGCACTATCTGCAGAAGCTTGAATAGTCTGCAATTTGTGGAGGGAAGAGTTAGGAAGACCAGAGAGTTAGAATAGTCAAGCCTGGACATAAACCATGGATAAGGATCTCGGTGGCCCGAGGAGAGAAGTAGTGGTGGAGGCAGGCAATGTTGCAGAGGTGGGCAATGTTGCAGAGGTGGGCAATGTTGCAGAGGTGGGCAATGTTGCAGAGGTAGGGGAAGCTGACTGGAGCAAAGCATGAATATGAGACAACTGAGTTGAATAAGACACCAAGGTTCCATACTGGTTTTAGTGAGGTGAAGTGTGTATGTATAGTGATGCTGGCAGTGCCTGAGGTGAGAAGGCCCTGATGAGATTCAAGCAGGAGGGTCTCTGTATTGTTGACATTCAACTGGAAAAAGTTGGTTCTCATCCAGAACTTGATGTCCGACAGGCAATCGCTTAGGACAGCAATCGTCCTGAATCGAGGGTGAAGGCACAGATATATTTGGGTGTCATTTGCATAGATGTGGAGGTAGAACGTGACAGCCAATATGCATACAGTAATGTCCCACAAACAGCCATGAAGTGAATGATAATTTTTTTGCTGTAAGCCAGGACATTGGGAGAACATCTCTTTTTGAATAGTTCATGGGATCTTTAATGTCCACTTGAACAGGCCGACAGAACCTAGTTATAACCTCTCATCCAAAGGATGACACCTTCCAACGATGAAGCTGCTCCCCCCACCCCCCTCACCAGCACTAGTCTAGACTCTTCACCTTGGTCAATAGGAATTCAAAGTCCTTATGTGGGGTTTGAGTCCACAACCTTTCTGACTTAGAACTACCAACTGAGATAGCCAGTATCCCCTACAATCTCGTGGATTTGCTTTATTTAAAAAAGAAACAAAATGTATTTTTTCTCCGTTTACAGGAACTTTGAAGAAATTCAGACTGCGAAGACCATGGAGAAAATGGGAAGCAAAAGAAAGTTTCGGATCTGTGTGGCTACCAGCAATCGTGCGGATTACTCCAAGCTCGCTCCCATCATGTTTGGAATCAAGGCGCAACCCGAATGCTTTGACTTGCAAGTGGTTGTTTTAGGATCCCATCTAATTGACGATTATGGGTGAGTTTTGGATATTTGTTATCTCCCGATTACCTCTCCAATTAGGCCTCGCTGGTCATCCAGCTCATCAAAACTCTTGCCACCTACACCCTAACCTGCACCAAACTCTGCACGCCTACTACCCAGCTCTTGGCAGGCTCCAGCTCCCTGTCTCCCAGAGGATCAATTTTAAGGACCTCATCACCACCTGTTATGCGGTAGCAATTCCCTATTTCTGTGAGCCTCTGGTTCCCAGCTATTCTCACTCCCTACTGGAGGCCTTCAGTAACCATACCTTCTCCCTCCAAATGCCTCTCTATCTGTCTTTAAATCCTGCCAAAAAGCTGTCTCTTCCACTGCACCTACTTCAACCCCTTCTTCCTCCTATTGCCCTCTCTCTTCCCTTGCTCGGTGTTCAACACTCCCTCTGAAATATTCTGAGCCATTATCCTACACTGTTGGAATACTCAACTGCTGGGGACTTAGATGTAGTATCAGCAAACAAACTAAATGTGATACTTTTTCTTTGAGAGGTTAATAGGAATTGCCTGTTGTGCTTCATATGTTAAGAGGTGCAGTAGGTGGATCTTCAGTTCTTTATTATGGGATATATAAGTCCTGTAGCTCAGTGGTTAGAGCACTCGCTTTGCAAGCGAGAGACCTGAGTTCAATTCCAGGCAGGGCGAAACCTTGGGCAAGTTTCCTTACTCCACACAGCCTAATAATAATCCCTCCAAAACAAAACAATAATAAATTGGTCATTTTCAATCTACGACTGTTTGTGGGACATTGCTGTGCGCAATTGGCTGCCGCGTTCGCACACAAATATACAGTCAATTCACTTTACAGTATATACTGTAAAGCACTTTCGGACGTCCTCCCGACGTGAAAAGCGCTATATCAAATGCGAGGATTATTATTATTATTATTATATAGTACATAGGTAGTTTGGGAAATATGTGCATGCGACCGCCAGAAGTGTGGAAAGCGAACTAGATGGACCTTGGTCTCTTTTTGTCTAGCATTTATTATGTTCTTGTGTTCTTACTGTATGCTTTGATTTGATTTGCTTTTATTGTTAGGTTGTGATACTGTGATTCAGATTTTATTTTTAATTGTATACGGGGTTCCAGTTGAGGTATTTTTATCCGCTTGTTCTGTAGAGCAAGAAGGGCTTGATAAGGGGTTAAAAGCAGAGAGCTATTCCATTTCCAAGTGCTGATATATGTTTAACGTTGTCCCAGGAACAGTTCAATAGATGTGCACAACATTGACTCCCTTTTTTCAAATTCTTTTGAGATGCCACAATACCAATTCTTGGGGAGAGGGAAAAATGCAGTTTTTATTCAGGTTTGGCAGCCCAGAAACCCTAATTAATAGTCTGTTGGATTTTGACTGTGTGTTTGAAACTCCCTTTATTAGATTAAACTAGTTTCAGCATTGAATTGATAAGTAGTATAAAGGGACATTAACAATAACAACAAATTGCATTTATATAATACCTTTTGGAAGAAAGTCTCAAGGCCATGGAGAGTTGAGGGTTTGCACCCAAGATTTCGGGATGGGTGAGGTCAAAGGGACGGAGAGAGGGGGGAAAATGACTGAAGAGGAAGGTCTTAAGATGGACTTTGAAGGAGGTGAGGGAAGAGGTGAGGCAAAGGGCCTCTGGGATGGAGTTCCAGAGAGTGGGGGCAGATAGCCTGAAGGCCTGACGGTGGTCAGGCAGGGAATGTGAAACAGGCCAGTGTCTGTCGAGCAAAGGGAACAAGAGGATTGGTAGGGCTTTAGAAGGTTGAGGAGGTAGGATGAAGAAACAACATGGAAGGAATTAAAAGTGAGGATGAGGATCTCAAACTCAATTCTCTGGGTGTGGAGAGCCAGTGTAGCTGGGCTAGGATTGAGGTGATAGTAAGCGTTTTATAGTATCTTACTATGCAGCACAATTTTACCACTATTCAACAATACAGCACAGGCAGGAAAGAAACTACAGTTGTTTTGAGCTTTTCATTCCAGGAACATGAACTATTTATAGGGTTGTATGATGGAAAGGCACTGCCTAAGTCTTCCATCTTTTACAGCACAAGGATCTTTTCCAGCAACATTAAAAACAGTATTGGCAAGAAAGAAACTGAAGAGTATTTCATTAAGCACGCTTGTCTTTCTAGGAACACATATCGCATGATTGAACAGGATGATTTTGACATCAACACAAGCTTGCATACAATAGTCCGTGGTGAAGATGAGGCGGCCATGGTGGAGTCTGTAGGCCTGGCCTTGGTGAAGTTGCCAGATGTACTTAACCGCTTGAAGCCAGATGTGATGATTGTTCATGGAGACAGGTTTGATGCTTTAGCTGTTGCAACCTCAGCTGCCCTGATGAATATTCGAATTCTGCACATTGAGGGCGGTGAGGTTAGTGGTACCATAGACGACTCGATCCGACATGCTATTACCAAACTGGCCCACTATCATGTTTGTTGCACACGCAGTGCAGAACTGCACCTTATAGCCATGTGTGAGGATCATAAACGTATCCTATTAGCTGGGTGCCCATCTTATGACCTGCTACTTAATGCAAAAACCAAGGACTACCAAAGCATTCTACAAACTTGGCTAGGTGAGTACAGCCTAAATCCTGATGTTTAAACTTTTCTTTTCAAGCAATGCGTCTGGTGCTTTTGCAAATATTTTGTTAGTTTTGCCCCAATTTAGCGAGGAAAAAAAACTGCAGTTGACATTTTCATTCATTCTAGACCATTTGCAGGGAAGTTGGAGGCATATCTGCGTGAATTGTAAGATCCTGTGGAAGGTTTCCTTTACCCACCTACTTTAGGCATTCGCTCTGTTTATTCTCTGTCACTGGCTCTTTCTGCTCAATGTGCGAGAGGAGAGACTTTGGCGAAAAAAAATTCTTATTTCCCAAACGTGATCATTTCTTTTCCTGCTGTGACCAAGTTTACAAATAAATCTACCTCATGACACTGGGAATGAATGAGTGAAGCCATCTCTGTACACCATTATACTCTGCTCCTCATGACCTCTGTCATCATACAAGTATGCTGCTTAGACACTCTTGCTGGAAGATGCCAGCTCTACACAAGCCTTCTGGTGATGGATGTGCATATGTGCATCGCCAGTGCCAAGAATAACATTAATTCTGTATACAGAAACATCATCACCATCCATTTGTCTTCTCACTATGTCCTTTCCATCCATTTTCTTTACAGAAACCCATCTAGTTAATCTTTGAAAACATATATAAAAAAAGTTTCTCCTACCTACTAATAGCTAATATTTAATTTGTGTCCCATATAGTGGGACGTCCTCCAGACGTGAAAGGCGCTATACAAATGTAATTTTGTTGTTGTATAGTGAACGATTTCCCATAATGAAGATTGTGTCTGGTTTTCCTTTGTAATTTTAATAAACTTTTAACCAGGTCCCCTTAGAATTCTCTTCATTTTTACCTGAAACGTAGATTTCCCATGCCCAAAATATTGCGAAGGAACATAATGCCAGACCTTTAAAATTCTAGAAGACATACTCAATGCAGACAGTTTGATTTGCAACATGAGATCAGCTGTTAAAACAGAATTTTAAGCCTTGAGTTTAACATTTAAGCACCTCAAGATGTGAGACTTGATGCTGCAGAAATCAGTCCTGTAAAGGAAACAGCTGGCCACTTGTGGGAGTGAAATCAAATCTGCACAAATGGGAGTCAGTATAAACTTGTGACACTTTTACAGTATGTGTTTGTAATCGCCACGATCCTCACCTTGCTCCATTGACCTCCCATCTCCTGGGGGATCAACTTCAGTGATACTTCAGTTAAATCTCTCCAATCACTTGTCCCGATCTACCCCTGCAATCCCTTCCAGCCCCACTATCCCATCCATTCCTTTCAATTAGCAGAATCGCTTTTCTATACTAAAGTGATATATAAACATAAGTGCAAGTTGCTGTTTGCCTTCTTTCCATTGCAGTGTTTTGTGCAAGACTCCAGCTTAATTTAATGTGAACTGCTATTGTACTTGAAATGTTGTTCAAAATATGACTAGTATTGCTTAAGGAAGCTTAAGCAGCACAAAATTAAACAAAGAATGAACAAAGATTGAAACAAATAAACCATTTTTTTTGAATTCTCTATGAATTTGTTTTTTCAAAAGGCTTTGTTAATCTAATAATTGCTTATTGAATTACTGATAACCAGTTTGCTAATTCATTGTTGCGCAAGATCACATACACAACTGAAGTGTTGAACTGATAGCTAAATGTTTCTTGGTGTGTGAATTTGTGTTCTCACTATTTAACTTGATTGACCCATTTCCTTTCTGTAGGAGACGATGTGAAGCCCAAAGAATATATTGTGGCTCTGCAACACCCAGTTACCACCAACATTAAACATTCTGTGAAGATGTTTGAACTGACACTAAATGCTCTAATAACATTCGAGAAGCGAACATTGATTCTGTTCCCCAACATCGATGCAGGTTTGTGAACAGATACTGTCGACTTTATTTTTAACAACTTGTCTGTTTCTCCAATAGCTTTATTAGAAAATAGCAACAGCTCAGTAGGTTAGTCTGAAATGCTGTACACTGTCCAGCGCCTTGGGAAGTCCTCCCGATGTGAAAGGTGCAATACAAATGTAATCTTCTTGTTGTAGTGCAATGCCTTATGTATAACTGACTCATATAGATGAGGAATGTCACAGTGTTGATTTCTGATCTATGCAGGATAAGCATTTTTCATCTGGGGCAGTAATATGGCTGCCAAGTTTTGAGCAGAGAAAATCAGTCAGGATTCCTGATCCTGATTGCTATCCAGTGATCTTTAATAAAAATAATAATAATAATAATATTCAAGAAGCGAACATTGATTCTGTTCCCCAACATCAATGCAGGTTTGCTGATCTTTGCTGGTAAATGCGTATCCAAGGACATTGGGTAAGAGCAGGGTTGCATTAACTGATGCACTCTCTTCTCCTGGTTAAGTAGTCTATTGACTGACATTCTCCAGATTCTGATATCAGCAACCACCTGGGTGAAGTAGTGGAGGGCAGTCAGGTCTCTGTATGAGTTGGTGCTTTAAGGAAATGGAGGAATTAAGTCCAGAGAACACAGCTGAGGATTGTCCAAGATGTTAGGGTCCCCCTCCCAAAGTAAGTATTGCGTCGTTACTGGAATATACCTAGCAAAAACTGTTAGGCTTACTCAACTGGAGCTCGTAAGCTTTCTATCCATCTTAAATTGCAAGAATTTTACCCTTGAATTTAATATCAAAACGTGTGAACAAAAGGCTTAAAATTACCATGGATGAGGTGGGGTGAAGGAAAAAGAGTTTATACACAGACATGCAGATGAGCAATAGTACAGAGCACATAGCTACACAGTTGTCCAGCCAGGGCACTGGCATTCAGGGTTGTTAGGAGCCAAATCATTGGAATACTAACCCCATTTTATGTGTCTGCTTTGCCAAGTCTGCCTGGCACCTCTGGATGACATACAGCCTGGTTCCATTATATCATTCTCACCTCTGAGTCAGAAAGTTGTGGATTAATGCCAGGACTTTGAGCTGAGTCTCGGTTGATGCAGGAGATGCCGTCCTTTGAATTAGATGTTAAAGCAAGGTTCAATTTGCCTATTCATTTGGACGTTTAAGATCCTAGGACACCATTCAAAAAGAGAAGCGAGTTTCTCCTGGTGTCTGGCCAACAATCCCCCAAATAAAATCGGTCACTCGTTTTATGGCTATATGTGGGATATTGGTGTGCACGAACTGGCTACCACTTTAGCCTATAAAATATGTAGCTACTACACTTTCATGTCTCATAATAGCGTTCATAGTGATGGTGGAGAAGGAAATTGGCAAAGAAAGATGTTGAGCAACAATTTTTAAACACAAGATAGAAAAAGTGCAGGTGAGATATATTCCTTTTTGAAAAACAAGAAAATTGAGATGCCATGGATAAACAAAGAGGTGAAGACAAAACTGCAAGAAGAAAAAAAGCATTTGAAAATTATTGGATAACAGAGAAAAAACAGTATTTAATACAGCAAACGTAGGAAAGAGGTTAAAAAGACAATTAAGAAGGGAAAGAAGAACCATGAGGAGAATATAGCAAAAATATAAAAATAATAGCAAGATGTTCTATAGGAATGTTAGCAATAAAATAATGGTTAAAGGAGGGGCAGAACCATAAGGAGAGAAGCTCACAGCAGATAATGAAGAAATGTTGGCAAACAAACAAACTAAACAAATACTTTGGCTCACTTTTCATAAAGGAAACTGATCAGGAAAATGTGATAAGAACAGAGAGCAGGATGGAAAATTACCAGAGGTAAGATAGTGTGAAAGGAGATACTGGACAATTTACACAAGCTTAAAGAGTTAAGGCACCTGATCCAGCGGATCCATCAATAACTAGGGAGCAGGGAGCTGAGGTTCTAGTGTATATATTTTAGAAATCTAGAGAAAGGAATTGTACTGGAGAAATGGAGGATGGCCAATGTAATACCTATATTTAAAAAAGGGTGATCAAGCTAATCCAGGAACCTACAGGCCAATCACCCTAATAAACAGGTCACCTCCCCCTGGCTCGACTTTGGGCTCTGCCATTGCTAAGCGCTGTGAGACGCCGCCCGGCGTGGAGGGTGCTATATAATTGCAAGCTGTTGTGTTGGTTGTGGACAAGGTATTGGAATCCATGATCACAGAATCAGAATATTACAGCACAGAAGGAGGCCATTCGGCCCATCGTGCCTGTGCCGTCTCTTTGGAAGAACTATCCAATCAGTCCCATGATAAAAGATGAAGCAACTAGATATCTAATGAAGGAGAATAGAATTAAGAGCAGCCAGCATGGATTAATGAAAGAAGCTTCATGCTTGACTAATCTTATTGAATTCTTTAAAAATGTAACCAATAAACAACGTGTCAGCCTGGCTCAGTGATAGCACTCTCTCTCTCACCTCTGAGTCAGAAGGTTGTGGGTTCCAGCCCCACGTTGGTACTTGGAATCACATAGTCTAGGCTGAAACTCCAATGAGGTGCTGTGGGGGTGCTGCATTGTCTGGAAATGCCGCTCTTTGGAAGAGACCTTAAACTGAAGTGCCGTCTGCCTGTTCAGATGGACGTTAGGGTACTATTCGAAAAGAGAAGGAGATTTCTTCCAATGTCATGGCAAACAATCCTCCTGCTAAAGTTGGTCACTCACTTCATGGCTGTTTGTGGGACATAGCTGTGTGCAACTGCTGCCACGTTTTGTCCACAAAATATACAGTCAATTTACTTTACAGTGTTTCCTGTAAAGCGCCTTGATATCTCTCTCTGATGATGTGATAAAGTGTTATGTCAAATGCAAGGGTTATTATTATAAAATACACAAGGGAAATGCAGTAGATGTTATGTATTTGAATATCCATAAAGCCTCTGATATAGGGCCACGTGACTAAAATCAGGGTAGGAGTTGAGGGCATCTTCTCAGGCTGGAAAGAAGTAGGACATACTGTTCCGCAGGGATCTGTGTTAGGACCACTACTGTTCACCATATACATAAATAAAATAATATTTTTGAATTTGTTTTGCTGATGGCAGCATTGCATATGTTTTCTGTTTAGCCTATGTTATAATTCCGTAAAACGTGTAAAAATGTATGGTGCGCATATCCATCAAGATTTTTTTAGCTCAGTATTTATTGCTGATGCCATAAAATCTCAGTCAATACATCTGAAAATAACAGCTATGTACATTGATATTAATATTTCTCTTTTTTTGCTGGAACTTATATCTTCATGGTCAATTTTTGGTTTGTGTGTTGCAGGAAGTAAAGAAATGGTGCGTGCAATGAGGAAGCAAGGTATCGAGCAAAATCCGAATTTCAGAGCAGTTAAACACATTCCCTTTGAGCAGTTCATCCAATTGGTGGCATACGCTGGGTTAATGATTGGGAACAGTAGTTGTGGTGTGCGAGAAGCAGGGGCTTTTGGTACGCCTGTCATCAACTTGGGAACTCGGCAGACTGGAAGAGAAACAGGTAAGATCTTGCACAGAAATAATTTGAAATAAATCCGGGAATGGGAACACTGAAGATAACACTGGGTAGAATACCAAGGAAGTGTACGGTTATGAATAATAGTGACACTTATATCTATGATTGATGTAATCCTCCAGAGCGTAACAGTGCAGAGCAGAGTTATAATAATAAACCTTGCATTTGATATAGCGCTTTATCACGTCTTAGAGATCTCAAAGCGCGTTACAAAGTGTACTATAAAGTGCATTGACTGTATATTTTGTGGGCAAAACACATCAGCTAATTAAGCACAGCAGTGTCCCACAAACAGTCGTGGATTGAGTGACCAAATCATTAATTTTTTTTTTGGAAGGGATTATTACCCCCGAGTTAAAGTGCAAACCTTCGATTTGACTTTCAGTCTCCATTTTATTATTTTTCCCTTTCTATGTAATGCCTCTTTCACTTTGAAAGTTTCCCCTTTTGTGCTTGTTCATCACCTTGAATTACTAGGGTAGTTTCAGTGGGGAAAGAAAGATGGCAAAATAGTTTGGAAGGTGGGAGCGCTTGGTTCTGACTGAATGGTTACAAGTTCTTTTACACGCTTGTTCTGAATTAAATATTAATGCTTTAATAAGGCCTCAACAATGTGAATAATGCTCATTGTAATGAAGGCTGACATATTTCTTTTCTTCCTTTAACTGCCCCCAGGTGAAAATGTTCTCCATGTCCGTGATGCTGACTGCCAGAATAAAATTCTGCATGCATTGCAGCTTCAGTTTGCCAAGCAGTACCCTTGGTATGTATATCAGCTTGCATTGCAAATTCACATTGAACTGCGAATCGTATTCCAAACATTGCCCTAAATAAATATCTGGCAGAATGTTTTCTTTCAGTAAATATATGAACCTGATAGTGTTAGTTATTGAATACAAAGGAACTGACTTCTTCCAGTTTTCTCCTTTTTTTCTCTGGAGACAATTCTTGACTAAGAACAAACAACAAAAAAATTACATTTGTATAGCGCCTTTCATGTCGGGAGGACGTCTCAAGGCTCTGGAGAATCAGTGTTTCAGACCCGAGCTGGGTATTGGGATCAGGGAGGGTGGAGGGCAGTGGGGGAAGGAAGGTGATCAAAGGCACGGTCAAAGAAGAGGGTCTTGAAGGAGATAAGTGAGGGGCCGTGTTGGAGGGATTGCGGGATGGAATTCCAGAGGGTGGGAGCAGAGTGGCTGAAGGCCCGCCTGACAATGGTGGGGGAGCGAGGCGGGGGATGTGAAGCAGGCCGGAGCCCGCTAAACAGAGGAAGGGCAGGATGGTAGGGGGTTAGGAGGTCACAGTTTGTGGGGGAGCAAGGCTGTGGAGGGCTTTGAAAGTGAGGACCAGGATCTTGAACTGTATCCTCAGTGTGATGGGAAGCAGTGGTGTCGAGTGAGGATGGGGTTGATAGGGTCACAGAGCCTGGTGCGGGAGAGGACGCTGGCTAGATGATCTGCAGTTTATGGAGGGAGGAGTTGGGGAGGCCGACAAGCAGGGAGTTTGCGTAGTCAAGCTTGGATGTTATGAATGCGTGTATGAGCGTCTCGGCGGCCTACGGTGTGAGATAGTACTGAAGCCGAGCGATGTTGCGTAGGTGGGGGAAGGCGGAGCGGGTAAACAATATGGTATCATGAGTCCCAGCAGCTCTCTGTACCTCAGCAAGTGACCATTTATAATGGTCCTTAACAGTGACTGCTGGTGAATGACTAAACCACATAGCCCATTAGCTGGCCTCAGCCTTGTCTTACCTGGTATACACACATGCAAACGATTGGGGTTGTCAACCTTATTTTTTTGTTTTCTCTAATACAAGTTTACTGAGATAAATTACTGGCCCTAGCTGCCAACTTGGTTGAAACTGGCTAATTAAGAAAAGGCTATAAATCAAATGACTTGAATTGTATGGCTCACAGTTATATCAAGCATTGCAAATACCCACTGAGTATTTGAGTGCTGGGTAGATGTTTTCAAGTTGATTTCAACTGCCTAGTTTTGGATCAGAATTTTTTGCTGGTTTCAAATGAAATTCAGTGACATCAGTTGTGCATGTAACTTGATGTGCTTGTCAGTGCTCTTGAGATGCATTGGTTTACATTGTTAATCTTTTACTTGATATTTTTCATTTTCTAAATATTATCACGGTTTGACTTTGATATGGTGTGTCTATAATCTTTGAAATGTTAATTGCTATGCCTTTTCCTTTTAAGTTCAAAGATTTATGGAGATGGGAATGCAGTTCCACGGATACTGAAATTTCTGAAGTCCATTGACATCAATGAGCCTTTGCAAAAGAATTTCTGTTTTCCACCAGTGAAAGAGTGCATCTCTCAAGACATTGACCATATCCTGGAAACGCAAAGTGCTCTTGCTGTGGATTTAGGAGGAACCAACCTGAGGGTGGCTATCATCAGTATGCAGGTAGCAATGCTTTAATTTGGGTCTTTTTGTTTAGTATTCTGAGTTCTGTGCACTTCACAACTTTGTGCTTTCTGCTGAATGTTCACTTGTCATCTTAGCACCTCAAAATAAATTTAGGCACTGCTGTCTCTGCACTTAATTCAAATTCAAGATCCTCACCTACAAGGCCATTCACGGCCTTGCTCCCTCCTACCTCTCTGACCTACTATCCCCCTACCTACCTGCCCGTACCCTCCGTTCCTCTGGCTCCGGTCTGCTCCACATCCCCCGCCCTAACAGCCCTACCATCGGTGGCCGGGCCTTCAGCCTCTCAGCCCCGAGGCTCTGGAACTCTATCCCCCAGTGCCTTCGCCGCCTCCTCCCTTTCCTCCTTCAAGGCCGGTCTCAAGACCTTTCTCTTTGACTGTGCCTTCAGCTCCCCTCTCGACTCTCTACCCCCTCCTCGCTCCCTCCCTTCCCTCCCCTCATCCCGACCATTTCCCCCCTGCTCGGGTCCTGACCCAACTGTACAGCGCCTTGGGACGTCCTCCCGACGTGAAAGGCACTCTATAAATAGAATCTTGTTGTTGTTGTTAAGTTAATAAATGGTGTGCTGGAAACTTTCTATTGTGTCCTGCCTGACATACATTAGCCGCTGATGCAGAGAAGGTACCTATAATTGGAACTCTGTTATAACGGGAGTTGCATTAGAGTGCAATTGGGGTGTAAAACGCAATATTTACTTATCAAAAACATTAAAAATGCACTCACTGGTTCCAATTGCCCGTCACAATGCCGGCCAGCATGCTAGCCCAAACTGAGACACTGGTTACATCCAATGCCACTTTCATCTGCTTGTTCAGGTGATTGTTCGCCCACAAAAATGCAGGCAATTACTTTACAGTATATTCTATGAAGCGCTTTGAGACGTCTAGAAGACGTGAAAAGCACTATATCAAATTCAAGAATTATTATGGTTAAAGGTTCTAAGGAATTCAATAAGAGAAGGGAGTTTCTCCTAATGTCATAGTCAACGATCCAATTTTATTTATTTCATTCATGTTCATGGACATTGCTGTGTGGAAATGTATCCCTACAAAATACTCTTCTATATTTGACGGTGATATTTTTTATGATGGGCTGCAATACCCATCGCGCCACTTTAGCACTGTCCATGTGTGGGCAGATTTTTTTATTCTTCTGCCAGTTAGTTAAACCACATTATCTCCTTGATAACTCAGCCTGGCTCAGTAGGTAGCACTCTTGCTTCTGAGTCAGAAGATTATGGATTCAAGCCCCACGTCATGGACTTTGCTCACAGTCCATGCTGATGCTTCAGTGTAGCATTGAGGGAGTACCGCATTGCTGAAGTTGTCATCCTTTGGACGAGATGGTAAACCGAGGTCCTATTTGCAATTGAATGCGAGCATCAAGAACCTATGACACTATTCAGAAAGAAAAGAGAGCTTGTCTTGTCCTGTCCCAGCAATCCCCAAGGAAATTAATCATTCATTTCATGACTGGGCCAAATTTGGTGCCACGTTTGCCCATGAATACACAGTCACTAAACTTGACAACAATTCCTTGTAAAGTGTGTTGAAATTTTTTGATTGTAATTGCTTTATCAAATGCAAGGATTATTACTTATAATGATCATAGAATCTTGCAGCACAGGAGGCCATTCAGCCGATTGAGCTACCAACTGGTCCCACTCCCACGCTCTTACGCCATAGTCCTGCAAAATATATAAGCATTCAAATGATTGTGTACCTTGAATGTTTCTTAAAAGGCAGTACTTTGAGCTCCTTATTTCCTCAGCAAGATCCTGTTTCATATCCACCGGTTCAAGATGCACTGATTTATTCATTTTCTTATCATACCTTTTGTTTAGTAATTTACTGAAGTTTTGCTGTTTGTGCTTTTTGTTGAAGGGTGATCTTATAAAAAAGTACATACAACCCAATCCTGAAACTTTCAATGAGAGAATTGCGTTGATTCGGAAGATGTGTGTCGATGCAGCAACTGAATCTGTGAACCTTAATTGCAGGATTCTCGGAGTTGGTAAGTGTAGGAAGTTACATTTTCAGGAAGTCAGTGGAATGAATTAGAGAATGTGCATTGTTAAATTGTGAGCTGTTGAATTGAGTTACTTTGCCTCATATGTGTTTGCTATGAATATTCTTTTCCTGTGACAATTCTTTTCTCCCTCAAACAGATTTTTCCAAGGGCTACTCACTCACAGGTTATCACAGATTATTTGTTTAACTGTAATTCTAGCCTTTAGTTCCCCGAAGGAATTTTCTGCCCATATTAGGTGTCTCACCAACAATAACAACTTGCATTTATATTGCACCCTTCACGTGAGGTAGGGTCTCGGAGCACTGAACCATGGTTTGACACCGAACTGGGGAGATGGTGGAGATGACCATAGGCAACGTCGAAGACGCGTGTTTTCAGGTGCGATCTGAAAATTTGCAAAGAAGGGGCAAGGCAGAGGGATTGAGGGATGGAGTCCCAGCAGTTCAGGACTTAGTGACTGAAGGAAAGGCGACTGGTTGTGATGCGAAGGGGCTGAGGGTTGCGCAAAAGGCCAGAGGCGGGAAAGCGAAGGGGCAGGTTGAGGAGTGGGATGTGAGCAGGCTGGAAACATAGGTGCAAGGTCATAAAATGAATCAGAAGTGAGGTAAAGGATCTTGAAATTGATGCAACAAGCCAATGGAAACTGGCAAGGACTGGGATGTTAGGGGGAGCAGAATTTAATACTAGTGAAGATACAGTCAGTGGATTTTTTAATCATTTGGACGTCATGAATGGTGGTGCTGGGAGAAGGCAAAAAGTCCATTGGAGAAATCGAGATGGAATGTGACGAAAGTGTGGATGAGGGTTTCAGCATCCCTTAATTCAGTTCTCTGAGTCTTGTTATCGTTTTGGACTGCTCCAGGGGACCAGTAACTCCTCAACTAATTTCTTTGTTCTTTAAAGAATTCTATCTGACGTGTGAAGTCAAATTGATACCACCCTAGTCTTTCACCTCCATCTGAGGGTGGGATCATAACTTCGCCTTTGATATAAGGCCCTCAAGAAAAACATTTTTAAAATCTCGCCAGGTTATATTTTTAGAAGCTGCGCTACTTACATATATAAAGAAATTCAAGAAGCAATAACATTCAGATTATTCTATGACTTTTTTTATGAAGTTTTAACTGTTACGTTGTTAGGTATGTTAGGTGCAGCCTAGTTCAATGGTGGAACTATTGCCTCTGAGTCAGAAAGTTGTGGGTTCAATCCCCATGTCAAGATTTGGAACTCACAAAGTCCAGGGATGCGCTCAACATTGGAATCGCCATGTCATCTTGAAGTCAATAAAAAACAGAAAATGCCATACAGCCATGGTTTACAAATAAATCTGAACAACAGCAGCTTGCATTTATAGGGTGCCCTTCAAGCAGGGCAGCATCTTGAAGCACTGTAGGAACAAACAGCTATAGCACTTTTCATGTTGGTAAGATGTCACAAAATGCTTTTCAAGATATATTTGTGTGGGAAACAATAAGAATACTGTGCATTGAAACTCAATTGAGCACCAGATATGCACAATTTCTTATCTGTATTTGTGTTTTTCAGGCATATCCACGGGTGGACGTGTAAACCCAGCTGAAGGAATTGTCCTTCATTCCACCAAACTTATTCAGGAATGGATCTCTGTAGACCTAAGGACACCAATCTCTGATGCTCTTCACCTGCCTGTGTGGGTGGACAATGATGGAAACTGTGCTGCTTTGGCAGAAAAAAAGTATGGCCATGGCAAAGGAGTAGAAAACTTTGTAACCGTGATCACTGGCACAGGTAAATTACAAACAGTGTAGTACGTCAACTTCACCTCAATTTTTTTNCTCAGAATTTGGCAAATTGTTGAATTCAGTCCTTACTTTGAAGTTAGTTATTTTGAAAACAAATTTACAGAAAATCAGCTGCAGAATTAAGACTGTATTGAAGAAGTTGCCAAATTCTCACTGCACAATTCTAAGAATTTAGAGTAAATTTTTCCCCCTCAGAATACTTACATAGGGTTCAGGTCTGCACTGACTTGTGGGGAGTCAACATCATGGTGGGCATGACTATTTGCCAAAGCTTCTCCCATGAAGACCAAGAATAAGCTGTTGGTATTACGTTAAACCTGGTACATGACATTAGACTTGAACCTTTAGAACATTTAGGTAGCTAATGTGTCACAAGCTGTCCCGTATAAGTCCTCCCACTACACTGAACACAGATGTCCATCAAATAGCTGATAGGAGAACTCTGAGGCTTGCTGGACAGTGTTACCTGGAGTCCAGGTTTATGAAGACATGAGATATTGGAGATTTGTTGTCCACCTGTATTGGTATGCTGAGAGATTAGCAGCTGCTGCTGAAGTACAACTTGCAACTGGTGGAACCATCGCTCAATAAGAAAGGATGCGTGTCCGAGCTATAGACAGGAAGATGCTGACAATGCTCTCACATTTTGTGCTGAGCTTTGTGCTCACATGGATTTCCTGGTATCTGCCATCCACCTAGTGAGGGCTCAAACCTGCTCTTATTGGATGTCAAATGACAAACTAGTGAATCTTCTTTGGGAGGGAGATGTAAGTGGGGTCTTGTTGGAGCTGGACTAGCTTCAGGTTGATGTGTTTGTCAACGGAATGTCAATCAATGTCAACCCTCTGTGCCGGTCTCAGTAGTCTGGTTCCTGAGCCAGGTAGGTCCACAGTATTCCAGGTCACTGCTGGTGACAGCCGGAGGACTTGAAGGAGCAAACCAGTCACTAAGAGTAGGGATACTTTCCACCCAGTTCCTGTTAATCTTGCAAGCAAAGGTCTAAGGGTAGGGTGGTCCTAGCTGCAAGAAGGGGGAACACCTGCCAGACATGCTTTCAGTGGCAAGCTGTGCGGTTTTAGCTGGTTAAAGTTCAGCAATTCCCCAATGAGGTCCCCAAATCTGGCTCTCGACAGCCTAACATCTGATAATAATTTCTGGAATTAGGTAAGAAGGATGCAACCCTCCAGGTAGAGTGAATGTGCATTCCACTCCTGATGCAGAGAAATTTCCATGTGCTGCTGACATACACAGGCAGAGCTCTGGTAAAGCTCTAGGACAACACCCCAAATGAAGGGCGCTATATAATGCAAGTTGTTTGAATACTCTTAAGAATAGTCAAGGGTTTACCTATGTGTCAAATATCTGACTGAGCAAAATTGTTTCAGAACTTGATATGACTGCTTCCTGGTGAATTTCATAGGATGTGCTGTGGATAAATCTTATGACAAATCCCAAAACAAATATTTTCTGAAAAAAAGCTGCACATTCCAAAATATTGAGGAATTATGCCTAACCGCCTTTCATTCTCTTGGGAGGGGAATGTGCCTGTATACATTTTATCTGTTTTTAAAGCAATGAAATACAAATCAGACAATTAAATTCTCTTAATAATGCTACGTAAGCTGATGATAATGAGATTTTCTACCTTACTGGAGCTGAACATTGGTCAGATCTTTGTGATCTATTATAGAAAAGAGGGCCAGGTATAGTGCAACACCAATGGTGTACGGGATAGAGCTGCAGCTTATTAACCGGGAGCTTACTGGTTCAATTCTCACTCCGTGTTTGCTGCTCTAAATTGGTCTTCTCAGACTGAGGGAGATCAAAATTAGCGGATTTACCAGTTCTGGAATGTCTTTTGCACCCTCTGCTGGTAATGCATGTCAATGGCAATAGGATGGAGCAGGTTCAGTTGTGATGGCATCTACAGTGGAGTCACCCACTGCCAAAGCTCACACGTGGATACTGGCTGCTTGGGCAGGGTCTGTGTCACTACACAGCAGCAAGAAGAGGCCAGAGTAGGAGCAGAAAGACGCATGTCATTAGGGAGAACATTAGAAAAATAATTGACCACTGCTGTCCTGACAGAATGTCTGTCAGACATCAAGTCCTGGATGAGAGCTAACTTTCTACAGTTGAATATCAACAAGACCGAGGCTCTCCTGATTGGCTTCCGTCAGCGCCTCCACACCTCAGGCGCTGATAGATTCACCATCCACGGCTGCACACTCCACCTCACTGAGTCACTCCGGAATCTTGGCATCTTGTTTGACCCTCATCTATCCTTTCTACCCCACATCCGTGCCTTGACCCGTTCTGCCTTCCCCCACCTCCGCAACAACACCTGGCTCTGCCACTGTCTCACACCACAGGCTGCCGAGATCCTCATACATACATTCATAACATCCAGGCTCGACTCTGCAAACTCCCTGCTTGTCGGCCTCCTCAACTTGAACAGCGCTATTGAGTGTAAATTGTATTTTGCTATAAATAGCTTTCTCCATTATGTTGTAGAATTTTAGCCTATTTATAAAACTGAGGAAGATTATACCCATAATAGGTAATTAACATTTTATTGGCATAGATTTTTTTAAAAAATACTACTAATCATAAATATTTTATCCCCGTTCAACTACTTGTGTATGTAGTGAATATACAAGTCACTAAAAACATGTAATACGATAAGTAACCATCAAGGTTAACTAGTCTTATTACATGTTTTGTATGTGCCATCACTTGTCATACAGATGTAATTTATTTTATAAATGGATGCTACCTGACCTGCTGAATGTTCCCAGCGACTTCCGTTTTTGTTTCAGATTTCCAGCATCTGCAGTATTTTGTGTTGTTAATTTATTTTATGATTAGAATAATACTAATATATACAATATAGTAATAATGGATGCAGAAGATGTGCTGTTATGTACTGAGTACATGCACACAGTAAAACTCACATAAGACATTTAATGTGACTTGCAGGTAAACTATATAAATCGTATAAAATTTAATCAATAATCTGCACTTCGTATGTGTAATTCAATGGTCGTAAGTACATCGTCATCACAGTTGGTAAATTTGCATGTGGTTGCATTGAATTGTGGGGAATGTAGTTTTTACCGTCACTTACTGTCGAGTGTTGGAATCGCAAAGAATGATGTGATATTAAGTTCCTCCGCACGTGTGTCAATGGATCAAGACTGCATTTCCCGGGATTTAAGGCAGCAGTAAGTGCGGGAGTAATGAAGGATAGGGGAGCAGCGTTACAAGTTAGGAGGTTATTAATACAAGTAGTACAGAGAAGTCTGAGTGATTTGGATAGGCAACTGAATGGGACTCGGGTGAATGTACGACTTAGGCGATTATATGATTGATAAAGATAAGACTTGTGCAAGTTTTACTGTATTATACAACTGAATAACATTTTATTTTAACAGGAATAGGAGGGGGGATCATTCACAACTCTGAGCTGATTCATGGCAGCATGTTCTGTGCTGCTGAGCTTGGCCACATCATTGTGTCACTAGATGGACCAGAGTGCATGTGTGGGGCCAGGGGCTGTATAGAGGCTTATGCTTCAGGAATGGGACTGCAGCGAGAAGCAAAAAAATTACATGACGGTAAGTGAGCTTGTTTCTTACCATCATCTGATTGTATAGAACCATAGAAATCTCTGATGCAGAAATCTAGGCCATTTGACACGTTAGATTAGTGTCTGTGGCAAAGCTGTTGACATGCTTCCAGACACCAACCCTACTATCTTCTCATTAGTGTCCAGCTGTTTCTGTCGATCAGTGTCCTGGCCTCAGTCACCAGCACCACATTATAACTAGTGGGGCTGTACTGTAACATCTCAGTCATGAGAAAGCAGTTTGTACTCATTTGTAGTGTTCAAAATGTATACAGAGAGTTCAGGCTGGAAAGAGAAGGTACAAAATTAAAGAAACAGTGACTGGAAATGTTATTTTTAATTCTGAGGCTTTCCATTTTAATGGTCTCAATGAAATGTAAAATGGCTGTCCTTGCACTCACATTCTGCACTCACAACAATAGTCGCTGTTGGATTGAGCGGGAGGATAACACATGCTATTTTTGAATGTTAAGCATTCTTTTCGGGTTTCTCTAAGAAAGTTATGGGATAAAAAAAGGTTCAAAATTATGTCTATCCTTAGAAATTAGGCCACCGTTCTGTAATTTATACATTTGAGGAGTGTCTGATGTACAGGGCAAAATCTGAATCATGACCTTAAGTAAATTAGTATAAAAAATGCAGCAAAGAATTCATATTTTTATTTCTGGTTTCAGAAGATTTGCTCATGGTGGAAGGTATGTCTATCAAGAATGAAGAAGCAGTCAGTGCTGTTCACTTAATACAGGCTGCCAAACTGGGCAACACCAAAGCACAAAATGTCCTCAGAACAGGTAATGTATTATAAAAAGTACACACTAACTCATGTAGCACATGAAAAGGCCATTTGCACTGCTTCCTACTTTAACCTGGCCTCTTTGCTGACCTCAAGCTCATTCAAAATTCCACCACCTGCATAAAGCTCCAATTGCAATTTACCCCCGTCCTCACCAGCCTTTATCTCCCAGCAGATTGATTCTCAATCTAACCTTAAAAATCACTTTGCACCCTAAACATTTTCATATCTCAACAATTTTCTCGAGCCTCACTCTTCTGTTTCTCCCCCTACATTTAACTCAGGCCTGCAGTGCTTTCCACGCCTCTATAACTCCATTCATTCTCTTTCAGCATGGACTCCCTGTATAAATGTTGGACACTGCAAATTAGTACAAACTGCAATTTGGCCCAATCCCACGCCCTCACCTTCTTGAGCTCCCTCTGTAAACCATCTCGCTCTCTTCTTCATTTGACCTTAAAAGCCGTCTTAAAAACTTTCAGGTGTGCCTACGTTCTTTCCATCCTTTTCCCTCAATTGCCCAGTCCAGTCTGCAGGTTAGCATGGTACAGCATGTTCACTTTAAAGCATGGTTCACTGGTTCTCAATGAGGTCACTTAGGCAAGTTATCAGAGGCTGGCTGTGCCAGTTGGATGGTGTTCGTGGGCTTACAGCTTCAGTATTGGAAGGAAGAAAAGGAAAGCAGTTATCTCCAATGACTAAAATAAATCCTAAAACTTTCAATAACCATTATGAATAGTTTAGTGACTCAGTAGCCTGACAGTGGAGGTCAGGGTTGTTCTTTCCAAACTCCTGCAGTTTAAAGATGGGAATGAATCCCTTGATTTGAAGAGCTCGAATGTCACCCACATACCAAAACGTAATTTTAAAAATATTGACTAAATGTTTGTTCATAGAATTTTATGGTACAGAAGGAGGCCATTTGGCCCATAGTGTCTATACCAGCTCTCTGAAAGAGCAATACGTTTCATCCCACTCCGTTGCCCTGACATTTTTCATTTTCATATACTTGTCGAATTGTTGACGTTATTTACATTATGAGCTGTATTAATACTGTTTGTGTTCTTTTTGTTTTTATTTCTTTTATCTGATATTTTCATTCAACATTCCACTATTAATCCTAGGCCTTTGCTTTTCACAGCTGGAACTGCTCTGGGAATTGGTATTGTGAATATTCTCCACACGGTGAACCCGTCTCTTGTCATTCTCTCCGGAGTTTTGGCCAGTACATTTGAGAGCATGGTGAAGGATGTCATTGCCCAGAGAGCTCTGAGCTCCACTCAGAACGTTGAAGTTCTTGTTTCAGATCTCTTGGAGCCTGCACTGCTTGGAGCAGCCAGTATGGCTTTAGATTATGCTACACGCAGAACCTATTAGATCATCACAAGCATTCAGTTACCAGAATTAACATTGGGGTCTAAAATACGGGCTTTTTTTTAGTCCTTAGTTCAGGAGCCGGAGTGGGGACTCTTTCTGGGAATTATAAGTACATGTGGAACCTCTGCTCCAAAAGAAGATTGTATTCAGAGGTTTTTCCTATGAGTCCATGCATTTACATTCCTTCATTAAGTAATGAATCCCATTTGAAATTGACAGATGAAATAGCCACAATGGGAATTTTAGAGCCCAATGTGGCTGTATCGACTGTTCCAAATCAGTTCTATTTTTAAAGTGTTCCCTCATTCATTTTTTGTTCATTCGTTCTTTAGTGAAATCTGGAGCGGAATTTACATCAATAAATGAAAGGAGGGAACTATCAGACCTTTCCAATCTCTACAGTTTCAAACTTTTCAATATTTAATTGCCCCTGGGGATAGATGATGTGACGCATACTTTTTTGTTACTTTTATACAATCTGAATTTATGTGTATATATTATAAAAATATAATTTCTGGAGTCAGTAGCGCTGAATGTGGTGCATTTTCATATAGAGGGATGGGAAATCAGAGAGTGGCATGCATGACAATTGCAGCAGTTGGTTTAGCCAGAATTACTTGAACAGTTACCAGAATCAACATAATATTTGTGCTTTCAAGTTTTCTCTGTAGTTCACTTTGGTTTCTCTTGAGCCCCTCACATTTCTTGTCCTTTTTTCCTCTCTTTTTTCACGTCTTCAGTTACTCAATGTTTACTTTGATTTCCATCAACAAGCTTGTTACATGCAAATCACCCATGCATGATGTTTAATAGTGAACAAAAGAACCATTTGTCAAGGTTGTATGTATTCCTTCAGACATGTTAGATTAGTGAATAAACATTTAAGAGTTCCCCTTTGAAATTTTGAAAGTTACAACATTTTATTTTTGTTTCCAAGTTTACAAATCTTAACATTTGGTATATATATATGAAATTGTTAACTTTACAGTAAATTCTGTAAAGTGTTTTAAGATGTCCTCTTGACATGAAAGGCAACAACAAGATTATATTTAATTGTGGAAGATAAGGAATATTGAGTAAGTTTAGGACACTGTTCCCTTTGAGTGTTGATTGATCCAGAGAAATGGCAATATCCTGATGTCTGCCAATTGTTTTAATTTTCAGTTGGCATACCACAGTTCTGAAATAAACACTAATGTATCAGTAATGTTAATGACAATGTTGTGAATAATTTTAATTTAATAATCCTGTACTATAAAATGCTATTTTTTGCCCATTCACTCTTTTTAAAATTATTAGTTTTTTCTGTCTAATTAACCAAATTCATATATTCAACTTCATTTTTTCTCTTAAACCAATTAACTTTTCAGTCTATTTTATTGAGCTATATATGCCTCCCTGGTACCAACACTTTATGTTGATAAAGAACAACCAGCTTTTTTGGTAATTGCAAGACACGAGCGTGTTGATTGACCTAGTTGTATCAAAGGTGAATTTTTTGAGGTACAAAATTGCATTAAACCCAGTGAGGTTGTCGCACAAGTAAACTTTGAGTTTATAGGCCCAAAGTCTTAATGTGCCTGAATGAGAAGCCGGCCCTCAGACCATCTTACTAATTAGCCTATCCAGTGCCTTCTTACTGACACATTTTTAATACAAAAACAGAAGTCGCTGGGAACACTCAGCAGGTCAGGCAGCATCTATGGAGAAAAGAAAGTGAGTCAACGTTTCGGGTCCATGGCCCTTCATCAGAACTGCAGCATGTTGGGAGGGAGAGGCTTTTATGGGCTAATAGAAAGGGGGGAGGCAGGGCAAGGGGGAAAATGGGGTAGAGGACAGGGGATGATGGGTTAAAGAGGTGTTCATGATGCAAAACAAAGGGGAATTGCATTAGTTCTGACAAAGGGTGGTGGACCCGAAACGTTGACTCACTTTCCTTTCTCCATACATGCTGCCTGACCTACTGAGTGTTCCCAGCGACTTCTGTTTTTTGTTTCAGATTTCCAGCATCTGCAATAGTTTGCATTTTTTGTTCATGCATTTTTAATGTTAGTGAAGTGAGAATAATCTAACCATTTCTTAATGTGAAACATGAAAACAAAAACATGAAGAATACTGGAAGTGTGGTTGCATCCATGTGTGACCACATAACTAATGAAATCAGTTGCATTGTTTACATTTGTTGGTGTGTGTTATGTCCATTGTTCAGAGGCTTCTCTGCTGCTAACATGTCTTTTAAGTTTTGACCAGTTTTTGTCGCCAACTCTCCCTTCCACCCCGTCTACTGAATTATTTGCTTAAGGGATTTTGCCTCCTAATGTAGCCTTTGTAATTTCCTGGCATATTATATTTTCTTTGCATTCATTTGTTCTTATCTTCATGTCCTTGATTCCAAAATGAGCAGCAACAATAAAATCAAAAGAGTGGACTAATGCGAATTTCTTTGAAGTGTTTTGAATACCAGTATTTGAGAAAGAAAGCCTTTCCCCAGTATTATGGGAGATTTAAAGACAGCTACATTGTGTGCTTGTGGAAGCATTTTGAGACGACTCAAAAGTCGTGATAAACCGCTATATCAAATGCAAGGGTTATTATTGTTATTGCAGTGAGTAAATTGGCTGCCACAATCACCTACAAAATACAGACCATCATGTCTGCCGGCTCTTTGAAAAGAGCTATCCAATTCAATCCCATTCCCCATAACCCTTCAAATTTGTCCTCCCCAAATAATTACCTACGTCTCTCAAAAGTTCTTATCGAATTGGCTTCCACCACCCTTTCAGGCAATGCATTTCAGATCGGAACAACTCGCTGTGTGAAAAAATTTCTCCTCACCTCCCCTCTGTTTCTTTTAACAACTATTTTAAATCGGTGCCCTCAGGTTACTGACCCACCGGCCAGTGGAAATAATTTCTCCTCGTTCATCCTATCGAATCCCCTCATAATTTTGAAAACTTCTATTAAGTCACCTCTTAACCTCTGCTCCAAGGAGAATAATCCCAGCTTCTCTCGCCTCTCCTGATAACTGAAGTCCCTCATTCCTGGTACCATCCTGGTAAATCTCCTTTGCACCCTCTCCAATGCCTTGACATCCTTCCTAAAGTGTAATGCCCAGAACTGAAGACAGTCTCTCGCTGAGGCCGAACCAGTGTTTTATAAAGGTTCATCATAACTTCCTGACTTCTGTATTCAATGCCCCAATAAAGCCTAGTATCCCATATGCATTTTTAACAGTGTTATCTGCCTGTCCTGCCACTTTCAAAGGTTTACTTATATGAACCCCCAGGTCTCTCTATTCCTTCATCCCCTTTAAGATTGTACCATCAGCGTATATTGCCGCTCCTCATTCTTCCTCCCAAAATGCATCACTTTGCATTTCTCCACATTAAACTTCATCTGCCATGTGTCTGCCCATTTTACCAGTCTGTCTATGTCCTCTTGCAGTCTGCTACTATACTCCTCACTGGTTACTACTTCTAGCTTAGTATCATCTGCAAACTTGGAAATTGTACTCCCTATACCCAAGTGCAGGTTATTTATGTAGATCAAAAACAGCAGTGGTCCCAATACTGACCCCTGAGAGACACCACTGCACACTTCCCTCCAGTCAGAAAAACAACTGTTCACTACCACTCTCTGCTTTCTGTCTCTGAGCCAGTTCTGTATCCATGCTGCCACTGTCCCTTTAATACCATGGGCTTCCATTTTGCTTACAAGTCTCTTATGTGGCACTTTATCGAACGCCTTTTGAAAATCCATATAAACTACATCAACTGCACTACCTTCATCCACCCTCTCCGTTACTTCATCACAAAACTTTTATCAGGTTTGTTGCCCATGATTTGCCTTTAACAAATCCATGTTGGCTGTCCTGTGTTAACCCATATTTTTCTAAGTGAAAATTAATTTTGTCCCGGATTATAGTCTCTAGAAGTTTTCCAACTACTAACGATAGGTTGACTGGCCTGTAGTTCCCAGGTTTATCCTTCTGCCGCTTTTTGTACAAGGGAGCAATATTTTCAACCTTCCAGTCCTCTGGCATCACCCCGGTGTCCAAGGAGGATTGAAAGATTGTGGCCAGAGCCTCCATTATTCCCACTCTTACTTCCCTCAGTAACCTAGGATGCATCCCGTCTGAACTGGGTGACTTATCTTCCTTGAGCACCGACAACCTTTTTAGTACCTCCTCTCGGTTTAGTCTTATCCAATTTCTCTACCCTCTCCTCCCATACTGTGGCATTAGCTGCATCTCCTTTTGTGAAGACAGATGCAAAGTACTCATTCAGTATATCAGCCATGCCCTCTGCCTTCACAAGATGATTTCCTCTGGTGCCTAATTGGACCCACCCTACCTTTGACTAACCTTTTATTCTTTATATACTTATAAAATACCTTAGGGTTCCCTTTTATGTTACCCACTAATTTTTTCTCATACAATCTCTTAGCCCCTCTTGTTTCCTTTTTCAGTTCTCCTCTACTTTCTATATTCTATTTAATTATCTTCTCTATTTTGGGCCTGACATTTATCATAAGCCTCCTTTTTCTGTTTTATTTTAATCCCAATTTTCTTATTCATCCAGGGAGGTTTGGATGCCCTACCTTTCCCAGTTGTGGGAATGTATTTCCTCTGTCCCCGAACTATCTCCTCCTTGAAAGCCTCCCATTGCTCGTTAGCTGCTTTACCTGCCAATCTTTCTTTCCAGTCCACCTTGGCTACGTCCCTTTTTAATTCACTGAAATTATCCCTCTTCCAGTTGAGTATCTTCACCTTTGATTGCTCTTTGTCCCTTTCCATAAGTACTCTAAACCTAATGATGTTGTGATTACTGTTGTCCAGATGCTCTCCTACTGAAACCTGCTCCACTTCATTCCCCAGAACCAGATCTAGCACTGCTTCCTTCTTCTTTGGACTGGAAACATACCTATCCAGAAAATTATCCTTCCCATTTCAGGAAATCCTTCCCCTTCCTTGCCCTTTAGACTGTTATTTTGCCAGTCTATGTTAGGATAATTGAAGACCTCATTATCACTACTCTATTGGTTTTGCATCTTTCTGAAATCTGCTTGCAGATTTGCTCGTCTATCTCCTTCCCACTATTTGGTGGTCTATAGTATACACTTAACAGAGTAACAGCTCCTTTTCTGTTCCTTAACTCTAACCAAATAAATTCTGTTTTTGGATCCTCTAGCATATCATCTCTTTCCAGGGCCAATAACCGTGTCTTTAATCAATATTGCCACCCCTTTCTTTTTTTCTTTCCCTATCCCTCCTGAATACATTGTAGCCAGGAAATATTCAGCTCCCATTCCTGCCCTTGTTTGAGCCAGGTCTCCGTTATTATCACTATATCATAACCCCATGTGGCAACTTGGGCCTGCAGCTCACCAACATCGACGTCTTAAATCGCACAGTTCTTACCTCCCCCTAAAACTCTCCGAACCCGTACGCAACCTAGACGTCAGGTTCGACCCCCAATTATCCTTCCTCCCCCACATCAGGTCCCTCACCAGCTCTGCTTTTTTCCACCTCCAACGCTTCGCCCGTCTCCGCCAATATCTCACCCCAAAGGCCGCCAAAACCTTGGTCCATGCCTTTGTCACCTCTCGGCTGAACTATTCAAATGCCCTCCTCGCCGGTCTCCCCTCCATTACCATCCAGAAAATCCAGGTCATCCAAAACTCGCCACCCGCATTCTTACACGCACCAAATTCCGCTCCCCGATTACCCCAGTCCTTGCCAGACTGCACTGGCTGCCTGTCCCAGAGAGGATCGACTTCAAGATCCTCACCCTTGTCTTCAAATCCCTCCACTCCTCTGCACCCCCCTACTTCTCTGACCTCTCTCCTCAAGACAGTACCCGTTACCTTCGTTCCTCCGGGTCTGGTTTCCTTGTCCCCCGAATCCTCCGCTCCACCATCGGCGGCCGTGCCTTTGGCCACTATGCCTCGAGGCTCTGGAACTCTCTTCCTCACTCCCTTCGCCTTGCCCCCTCTCTTCCTCTTTTCAGGTCTCGACTGAGGACCTTTCTTTTCGACCGCGCCTTTGGTCATCTTCTTCCCCCTCCCCCTGGCTCGGCCCCGGGATTCCGTTATTATGAAGCGCTCTGAGTTTGTGAGTGCCACACTCTCAGGGGATTTCTGCACTGCCTGTCCCCTCTTCTTACCATGCTGGGTGGTCACCCACTCACTCTCCTTCTGAAACTTCTGTGGCTGTGGGGTGACCACCTCCTGAAATGTTGATACATGAACTCTTCAGCCTCCCATATGCTATGTGGTGACATCAGCCTCTCCTCGAGCTCAGAAACTCTGAGCTCAAGTTCGAGCAGCCAGAGGCACTTCCTACACACGTGTCTGTCCAGAGCACACAAAGCATCCTGGAGTTCCCACATGGCACACATTGTGCATGCAACCAGTCTCAGCTGCCCTGCCATATTTCTAGACATGTTTTAAATTATTTTAATATAAATATTACATATTTTATAATTCTGCACCTTTTTTCCCCTCTGCACCGAATTCCCACACTCACCAAATTCCTTAACAGAATTCTCATTCTGTTGCACCTCGCTCAGTTCCCTCCTCACGCTGCTGGGTTCTCTGCTCCTTGATTTAACATTGATTTAACTCTGATTCTATATGCAAATGCTTTTGTGTCCTGTAAGGGTTTCGATACAGAATATTTTTGTCCTGGAGACAAACTTGGTTGTCCCAAGCTAATACAGGATTGTCTCGAGAAGTCCAAAGTAAAGGTGGGTTGGTGCCCCACCAGGACACAAGGTCCTTCCTAATCCAGGTTGACATTCCGCATTGCTGGAGATGCTGTCCTTCAAAAGAGCATGTCAAACTGATTCCTCCTCTCCCACCTCAGGTCAAAGCATTTTGCAAATGCTGGCGAATGCGGCTGTCATTCACCAGCAAAGTCTAATTTAAAACCCATGAGGGAAATGTCCAATTTATCTGAAGGATGTTGTCTTAAAAAGAACCACGATAAGCTTTTGTTTGTTTGGAATAGTTTATAGGGGATCTTTATTTGAAACAAGCATTGCTATACCTTTCCCTGCCTGTATGTGGCAACAGAGAACTTCAAAATGTAAAACCAGAGAGATGGGACCCTGGTTTAAAGTCTCCTATGAAATATGGCATATCCTGCAGCCCTGCACAAGTTTCATCTTAGATAATGAGTTCAGATCCCAATGAATGAATTGAACACAACCTTCTGATCCAGATACAAAGCAAAGCAATCAGCGGGGCACAGTCAGTCCGTAGGCATGGAGACAGCAGGGTGATGAGTGAGGAGAGGGGACAGGGCACTCATCATGTTATTTACCAGGTTACTCAACCTGGAAAATAACTCAGAGAAGTTTACAGGGAGAAGAGAGAGGAAGGGAAGGAAAGAAAGAGGCCATTCAGCCTGTTCCGCCATTTAATTAGAATCATGGCTGATCTGTACCTCAACTAATCCTTGCGATATTAATAAAAGGAAGTAATAATAAAAATAATACTAAACCTGATTACAGTATTTGAAGGGGTCAGCTGTCAACATGCCAAGTTGGACTGCAAGTTTTTTACTAATTGAAGACGTGCAAAGCTGCTAAAGGGACAATAGTTGGTGGATAAGAGCTCAGTAATTCTCACAGTACGATGATTCCATTCCAACATTCTGTGGCCAAGCACGTCATCTGTTAGCCAGACCCACCAAAACCGCTTTACTGATCCCACTAAGTAGATAATCCAGCGGCTATCATCGTGAGCCTCAGAGATTACTTTGGTCGAATGCTTTGAGGAAGTAACCAAGATTATGAACAGAGGGAATATGCTACTATCATATTGTAACTAAAGAGACAGCAACAACAACAACAAATTGCATTTATATATCACCTTTCATGGAGGACATCCTAAGAAATTGGACAGTCGAGAGTTTACATTTGAGCTGGGGTTGGATTTGGGACAATGAGGATCAAGGGGGTGGGGGAGGGAGGTGACCAAAGGCACAGCCAAAGAGGAATGTTTTGAGATCAACCTTGAAGTAAGTGAAGGGAGGCGAAGGGTCTCTGGGATAGAGGTCCAATGAATGGGCGCAAAAAGGCTGAAAGCTCCATCGCCGATGGTGGAGCAGACAGGTTGGTAGGGTTTGAAAAGGACGCAGAGTTAGGATGGGGGAAGAACATGAAGGGATTTAAAAGTGAAGACGAGGATCTTGAACTCATTCCTCTGGAGGTGGGGAGTATGGTGAGGGTGGGGGGAATAGACTCAAAGAGCCTTGTGTGGGAGAGGACATGAGCTGCAGAGCCCTGGATTGTCTGCTGCTTGTGGAGGGAAGAGTTGGGAAGTCCGGTAAGCAGAGAGTTGGAGTAGACGAGCCTGGACATGATGAAACCATGAATAAGGGTCTTGGTGGCTCGAGAGGAGGTGGACAATGTTGCAGAAGTGAAGACCAAGGACAAAGCCCTTAGGAACACGGCTAATGACTGAGGAATTATTGGCCAACAAACCCTTCACTTCTCTGAGTAGTGCCATGGGATCTTTAATGTCCTGGGGCAGGAAGACGAGACCTCATTTTTGAGTCTCATCTGAAGGATGGCGCCTCTGACAAAGTAGTGCTCCCCAGAACTGCATTGGAGTGTCTGTTCCAAGAAACATGTTTTCCTCAGGCGTCTGACACATGCGGAACCCCATCATCATGCTTAAAAGTTTTCAGGCTGAACTACTATGTATGTTTATTTCGGCTTGAAGTTTGCTTTTTTGAAGCCTGGTCCATTCATTGGAGCTCTATCCCAGAGACCCTTCGCCTCCCTTGGCTTACTTCAAGGTTGATCTCAAGACATTCCTCTTTGACTGTGCCTTTGGTCACCTCCCTCCCCCACCCCCTTGATCCTCATTGTCCCAAATCCAACCCCAGCTCAAATGTAAACCCTCGACTGTCCAATTTCTTAGGATGTCCTCCATGAAAGGTGATATATAAATGCAATTTTCAGTGCTGTGCTGGAGAAATGCTGCATTATCTGAATTGATGTCCTTCGGATATAGCATCAGACCAAGGTTATTGTTAGTCCCATGACACTATTCGAGAGAAGAAAGGGGTTTCTTCCTATTGTCCTGGCCAACATTTCCCCAGATAAAATCGATTATTCACTTCATGGTGTGTGGAACGTTGTGGTGAGCACATTGGCTGCTGGATTCATCAACAAGTACACAGTTACTACAATTTCCAGTAAATCCTGTGAAGCACCTGGGGACATATATAAATAAAACAGTCATCAGCACACACTGTTCGAAGGTGTATCGCCATTAGATGAGGTTCAAATTCCTCAATTAGCTCAATAGTGTCATTTTCAAAAAATTCAAAAAATTGCTCTGTTATGAAAATACCTTTTGGGAATGTTTCTTTTGCCTATTTTAATATTTATCTTTCTCTTCTCTTAAATTATTCATTGTTTAATAGCAGAAAACATACTATCATTTTGGATTTAAACGCTAAAAAACCATTGACAGCAACAAAATACTTCACACAACTGGGAACTTGCTGATGCACTTTATTTGACAAGCGAGAACATAGGTTTGCAATTAGATCTAATCTTATTTACAGGATTGAAACCAACCCTTTCTACACACAATATACACAATACAAATAAACGCACCAAATCAAACAGAAACTGTTTTGTTCATTTTTGCTTCTCAGATACGCTATTAATAATCTTCCAAAGGGCTTTCAAATGAAAGGAGAGATCCTAAATGACAAATATCCACATTAAATGTTAAGTCTCACTGACTCAACTTTAATTTACACTTACAAATCTTCCAAGTTAAAACAGCTCATTAGGACTAAAAACACGACTTAACTCATCTGAAAGCTGTTTTTATCTTGTACTTTCACTTAGTTGCCAATGGCATTTGGTTGAGTGAAATTATAACAGAACGCATTCGAGACACATCCTTTGACTGTTTGCTGCTCTTGGAGTTCATGTCACACAGGAGCAGCACTCGTTCCCAGTCCGAACCTGAACCGACCTCCTCCACTGCCTCCTCAGGTGTTCTGGAACAGGAAAAGACATCAAAGTGACAACTTTGCTTACAGTGTGTTGATATTCACCGTTATGATTGAACTCCTGCTGTACTGATACCACATGTTTGCAATTTATAGATTCTACTGTCAAGAATGAGGAGAAATTTGCCAGGACAGTCCAACTGGAGGCCCACGAGCTATATCCTGCTGTGGGCTGATTTCAATCCCCGCTCCATCCATTTCATCTGGCCCACTCGCTCCCTCCATTAACTGGAAGTGTTACGTTATGTTTCTGGAAGGGAAATACAAAAATATTGCTTATGCAGCTCGTGGACATTTCTCAAATAGGGACTCTGGCCCTTGGCAGCCAAAAGGTTGGAACATCCTGGAACAAATGCATTGCACACCTTAGTTAATGCTGCTACTTAAGGAACAGTTTATTAAACAGGCAAAAATTGTGAACAAAACCTCTTTTAGCTAGGCCGAACTTTACTCAACTATATATATAAAATAGGATGAAAAGGACAAGCTAGCAACTACAGGAACAATCATAGATAAGCACATGAAAGGACAGAAAATTTTGCACCCAACACTCAAAACTTAGGACATGACACTTCGGAGTAATACACACGACACTATAACCATTCTTGTGTATAAGGGGGATGGTATTAAGCAAAGTAGGTTAGGAGATGAAGAACATCCGCCGAGGGTCAGCTGCTCTCCAAAAGATCGGGTAATATCGCGTCTTTTGTACTATTGCTTTAACGTCTGTAAGGGGATATTAACTTTGTGCTTGGTGATTGATAAATAAACTTGATTGTACCCCACCAGTATGGTTCTGTCCTTCTGAACCCTCATCAAATCTTGGAATGAGCGTTCTCTCCCTGGAGGGACTATTCTGCTTACCTAATCCCGAAGAGTATTAGGCACAGGTTGGCAAGAGCAAAGGTTTGGGCACCCCGGTGTATGCTTTAGGGTAACCGCTGTTGTCTAACCAGCTAAAATTACATTGCTTGTCATTGAGAGAACTTTCTGGCAAGCTTCCTGCTACTTGTTCAGCTTGGGCCATCCTAACAGTTAGGGCTTTGGCTTGCAGGGTTAACAGGGGCTGAGTGGGAAGAGTCCCTGCCCCCAGTGACTGGTCTGCCCTCTCTAAGTCCTATCGATGAGCCCAGTTGGCTGTACCATCATCAGCAGTGTCCTGGAATACTACGGTCCAGCCTGGCTCAAAACCCGGATGAGTGAGACACCACAGAGGGTTGATTCCGACATTCCATTGGCAAACATATCAACTTGGAGGCAGTTCAGCTCCAAGGAGACCCGCTTTACTCCCCCCAAGTATGGCCACCAGTTGGTTGCTATCGTGATAAAGACCCACTTGGTAGAAGTCTTTCCCTTTAGAAATATGTCATACAGCAATTTTCTGCCTCTGAACTTCGGCGGTTACTGGATCTAGTTTCCAAGGGTTTCTGTCAACATATCAATATTTGTCATCGAGCTGTGTGCCATTTAAGGGTGTGTAAAGCCGTTCAAGGGAATATACAGTCTTGTGATAACAATAAAAAAAGTATTTCCTAAGTCACCTTCAAATAATGATATTAGTGTAAGTCCTTTAGCTCAGTGGTTAGAGCACTCGCCTCGAAAGCAAGAGGACCTGGGTTCAGTTCCTGGGTAGAGCAAAACATTGGGCAAGTTTCCTTACCCCACACATGCCTTTGTTTACCTAGCAATAAGTAGGAACCCGAATGTAAATCGATTGTTGGATCGGTTTTCCGAGGGTAATAATCCTTGTGTTTCTCTCACAAAATATACAGTCAATACATTTTACAGTATATTGTGAGCGCTTTGAGACGTCTAAAAGACATGAAAAGAGCTATCTCAAATGCAAGTTTATTTAATTTTATAACAAATATTTATCCTCCTCCATCTTGAAAATGTGAATGGATCCAGCATCCACAGCCTTTTGGGGGAGAAAGTTCCAGATTTCCATTACCCTTTGGGTGAAAAATTACCTCCTGATTTCACTCCTAAATGGCCCAGCTCTCATTTTAAGATTATGCCCCTTGTTGTGGATTCCCCCACCAGAGGAAATGGCTTCTCTGTATCTACCTTATCAAATCTCTTTATTATTTTAAAAAACCTTAATTGGCTCACCCCTCAACCTTCTGAACTTAAGGGAATACAGACAAACCTTATGGAACCCGTCCTCATAACTTAACCCTTTAAGCCCTGGTATCATTCTGGTGAAACTGCGGTGCACTCCCTCCAGAGCCAATATATCCTTCCTGAGGTGAGGTGTCCAAAACTGAATGCAGCAGTCCAGATGGGGTCTGACCAAGGCTCTATATAGTTGAAGCAACTATTTAGTTCTATCTGAGAGATAGAGAAGGAGAAACTGACAGAGGAAGAGAGATGGAGTGGCAGATATTCAGTTATCTAGCAGTCTAATGCCACAACCTAGCTTTACATTTAGAACAGTGTGTGTGTGGGGGGAGAGGGGCACTCCAGTACATCCAGGTACATTCGATATAATAAATTACCAAAAGATCATGAACTACAACTCTCCACGGTCTCTGATTCAACACGGTACTCACCCAGCACAGACACACGCAGCTAATGCAATATCTCCTGTATTCCTGTGGGAATACTTGCCATATAGTTGTTCATATAAAAAGATGGATTATTTACAATAGGTCCATGTTTGCTATATGACCAACCATTTGGCCTAAACCAATATATGAGGAAATAACAACAAGAATCATCTATACTTAAATGGCATCTTTTACATTGGGAGAATATCGCCAAAAGACTTTACAAAGACTGAATGGGAGTCCAGGTTAGGAGGAAGCTGGGAAGGTGGGTTGGGAGGTGTAGTCAAAGAGGTAGGTCTTTAAGTGGGATTCGATAGCAGAGGAAATTGGGTGTGATGAGGGATTTCAGGAGAGAGTTCCAGAGGGAGGGGTTGAAGTGGCTCAAGACTCGCCTGTTGATGGTATGATTTCAGCCACCACAATAACTGCTTTACGTTCAGCATACAATACAACTGCTAAAAAGTGCATCTGCTAATTTACAAATGTCTTATGTATCTAATGCGTAACCTATGAATCACATGCTTCCTTTTATGGCAAGGCAATGTTAGCAGAATGTTGATACAGCATCAATCAGCACAGAAAAACAATTAAAAACATGTTCACCATACACATAGTTAGATTAAACAAGCAATCCAAGCACAGGCTTCCACAACACAGGCCCATCCAAGACCCGAAATTCTACGAGCCTCAGTCAGCAGGACCAATTTACCTTAACATTAAAGGCCACACAGAATTGGGGAAAATTCATAAATTCAAACTTAATTTGGAAGTTGATCATTTTTAAGATCAGCATAAACCTAGCTTCCAAATGAAGATTGAATGGTTTTCATAATTCTGCCCGATCGTAAATTTTAAGACAAAGTAGCTTCTTTCCACACTAAGATAGGTGGAATTTCAGGACTCTGTTACTGGATCAAGTACCACATCAGTCACACAGAGGGGAAGACAGAAGAGAAGAAGTGTTTACTTAACTGTTGCAGGTTGTAGCAATGCTGTTTTATGTTTGTGCTTATTGATGCATTGGAAGGAAAAAAGTGAAAGATATGTTAAAGTTAGGCAAAATGACACACTAATACTGAATTAGCTGAATTGATAGAGCACCCACTGGTCATGCTTTAAAGCCGTTATATAGAGGTGTGTAAGCGAGAGAGAATGTGACAGGGGGAGAGAGAGAGTGAGAGAGAGGAGGGAGTGATAGAGAGGGAGAGATTGAGAGAGTGGGGAAGAGAACGTGAGAGAGATAATGTAGAGGGAGAGAGTGTGATTGAGAGAGTGGAGAGAGTGTGTGAGAGGGGAAGTGAGAGGGTTTGCAAGAGAGTGCATGAGAGAGAAAGTGATTGAAAGAGAGAGAGAGAGAGGGAGGAAGAGTAATTGAGAGAGGAGAGCATGAGAGTGGGAGAGAGCAGAAAGAGAGAAGAATTGAGGGCAGTATTTTGTGGTTCACTGTCAGGAGAGATGATCGGAGATTTCCTTGGCTGCCAAGTTTCCTCACAGAAAGCTCCCTCTTTCCCCAATGGAAAACATCTCTACTTCCCTCATTCCAAACCCCCACCTCCCAACCCTAGCTCTGCAACCTCCCGACCCGACCGTTCCCTTTACAGAGCAAACACCAGTTTGCTTCATGTTCCCCACCTCATCTGCCCCGCTCTCTGGAGTTCCATTCTCGGAGTCTCTCCGACTTGCTCCCTTCCTCCCCTCTTTCAAGGCACATTAAGAATTACTAGGAATTATTGTGAAATCGAGTGACTGAGAATTTGTAGGCAAAACTCAGCAGCATAATTGCACACAGCAATGTCCCAAAAACAGCCATGAAGTGAGTGAACAGTATTATTCATGGGTTTCTTGGCCAGGACACTGGAAGAAACTCCCTTCTCTTTTTGAATAGTGCCACGGGATATTAACATCCACCTAAACAGAAACCTTGGTTTAACATCTCAACTGAAGGATGGCACCTCCGACAATGCAACCCCACCCATTAGAGTGCCGTCTTTGACTATATGATTCCAAGTCCCGACGTGGGATTTGAACCCATAACCTTCTGATTCAGAGGCGAAAGTGATTCAACTGTGGCAAGCTGACACCCTGAAAGCTGCATAAAATGACCTTTTAACACCATGCAGTTCACTGAAGTCACCAATTAAGGGGTTTGGATCAAACCACAAAAGAAAGTGAGAACTTAGAAGCCATCTGATATCAGAGGTTGGAATAGAGACTTGAATCAACACTTCTTATTGTCCATCCTGAGATAATAAAATGCTTTGGTTTACAACAGGATACACGAGTAGTGGCTTAAGGGTTGCCAAAGTGGAATTCCACCAGCAATATCAAATATTATTACAATACGGTTGATTTTTTAGATACTAATTGACTTAATAGAATTCTTCAGAATTTCTGTTTTTCTCCCAACATCAACAGTTTTCTGGAGCTGAGTTGGCTCCAAGGTGACATGCTTGGCAATGGAATGTCGGAGTCAAGTCAACCCTTTGTGGTGATCTCGGTAGTCTGATTCCTGAGCCAGGCAAGTATTCCAAGACCCAGCTAGCCATACATCTATTGGGTAGGTCCTCACTGGACAAGTGGTGGGAAGCATGCCACAGTCTTTCAAGGCAAGCTATGTGGTTTTAGCTGGTTAAACTCCAGCAGGACTCTAACACACACTCTGGGTTCCCCAAGCCTTGGCTCTTGCCAACCTGCACGTCATTCTCTCTGGATTAGATAAACAGAGTGCATCCTTCCTGGGAGGGAGTGTGTATTCCAGATACAGAGGTAGGTAGCATATCTATGTGAAACTTTCTGTTTCATTTCTTGCACATGGTGATTGGTTTCCACATGTCTTAGACACCCAGCTGACCAAAACATAGTTAAAGGTGACTAACAGAAATCTTTGAGTTTTGTTTTCTGTAAATTGAACTGTGCATTAGCGTACCTTGGATTTAAAGCTACTTTGAACTTTTATCTATTTTTGATGCAAGGAAGTCCATGGCCTCTTCGCCAGTGCCTTGGGATGTCCTCCTCGTGTGAAAGGCACTATCTATATAAATGCAATTTGTTATTGTTGTATTTAGCACCTGAGGTGAGGATGGATGGTGCTTGAGGGGGTTGGGGGATGTGAAAGAAGTGATGTGTGGTGGAAAAAGGAACCAAATGAGTTTTGGGCTTTTGTGAGAGAGAGGTGTTGTTGGTGAACCATGCGGCTAGTATTGTGCTACCTGAGCTTGAGTGCAAGCAATTCGAATTTAAGAGAGATGAGAGACGGTCTTGGATTTCAAGAGAGCAAGTGAGTTGAAGGGGAAAAAGAGACAGAAGTTTAGCAGCTTGATGACCTCATTGAGATTACTGTGGGTGGACACCCAAAGGGAGAGAGGTCCAAGGGTGAGAGGGCTTTTGTTACAGACTCAGAGGGATGCTGTTTCCAGGGGCAAAACAAGATAGTGGAGGGTTTGACAGAGGGAAGGGTTTGCGGAAGGAGAAGGATATGAGGAAATGGGTGGAGATGGCCTTGTCCATGATGGAGAGGTCTGAGCCGTGAAGGCCACGTGTGATGATGAGATTGAGGGGCTGGCCACGATTATGCATGGGGGGAGTTTATATGGAGAGTGTAGTTAAGGGAGGAGAAGAGCTGAGAAATTGGAGGAGATGGGGAAGGAGGGGACTAGATGCAGGTTGGAATGGCTCATTATGAGAGGTGCTCAGTACAAAGGGAGACGGATATGGGGAGAGAGAAAATGTTTGCATGGAAGAGACCGGTGGTTTGGAGGTGGGGTGTGGTAGACAAGCGAAATTTTGAAAGAGAGAAGAGAGGTATGGTACAGAGCGAGGTGCTCAAAAGAGAGGAAGGAGGAGTAGGGGGATAAACCAGGGGAGGTAGGGTGGGAGTGCGGTGGAAGGTCTGTCCAGGTGGGGAAGCTTCGATGTGGGGGTTATCGGGCAGCCTGGTTTCTGTGAGCCCGAGGAGCTCATCCAGGATGAGATTGTGGATGGTGAGAGATTTGTTCAAGAGGTAGCGTGCATTTTGAAAGGCAATAAGAACAGGATTGAGGAAGTATCAGGAGAGCCAGGCATCTGTGGAGTTTGCAGATGGAAGGGGGAGGGAGAGGACAGTTGGAAATGGTTAGGTTTGTGGTGAGGAGGGAGGAGTGAGTGGAAATAGTGAAGGGCAGGGAATGGAAGCGAGGTCTTTTTTGGGAGAGGTGACAGTTTTGGTCATGGGCAGCAGCCAAAACATAAACGCTGAGACTAGGACCAAAGGGATCAGTGGGATATGGTCAGCCCCAGGCATGGAAGGAGTATGAGGAGTTTTAAATTGTAATAATAATAATCCTTGCATTTGATATATTGCCCTTCACATCGTCGGGACGTCTCAAAGCACTTCAGAGAATATATTGTAAAGTGTATTGACTGTATATTTTGTGGGCAAAAAGTGGGAGCCAGTTTGCGCACAGCAGTGTCCCAAAAAAAGTGACCAAATTTATTTTGGGGATTGTTGACCAGACACCCAGAGAGAGAAACTTCCCTTCACTTTCTAAATAGTGCCATGGGATCATTAGCGTCCATCTGAACAAGCAGACAGAACCTCGGTTTTAAGGTCTAAACGAAGGAAGATCATTTATCCTTTACATCTGGAGCAAATATGTTCTGACATGCTTGTGGCTTCCCGCACGTCAGCTAGCTGAGTGGACTGACCACAGTAACATGAATATAACTTCATAGCCTCATTGCAGGGACAATTACAAGGACATAAAATGTTTCAGTTGTGGGAAAATGGACTACAGAGATGGTAAGTCCCAGTGAAGTGATGCAATGACAGTTCCTGCCCATATTGGCCCAGAACAGTGTGTTTTTATATAGAATTCTGCACCTAATGCCAATACCATAGTGTCAATTAACTTAAGTAAATTGAAAACAATTCTTGATTGGGAAAAAACCTTCAATGTCCATAACTGGCCAAGGTTATCAAAAATACCTTATTGTAGCTGTTTCTGGACTACGACGGCAACAACAAAATTACATTTGTATAGCACCTTTCACAACAGGAGGACGTCCCAAGGCACTGGATAATCAGTGTTTTGGACCTGAGCTGGGGGTCGGGGTTGGGGAGGGTGAAGGCAGAGGGGAGAAGGAGGGTGATCGAAGGCATGGTCGAAGAGGAGGGTCTTGAGATGGATATTGAAAAAGGCAAGAAAGGGGGCGAGGGGAGGGACTGCGGGGTGGAGTTCCAGAGGGTGGGGGCAGAGTGACTGAAGGCCCGCCCACCAATGGTAAATACTACTAAGTAAAATACAAGAATCCAATGAGCCACATTATATGAACACATAACTCTCCCATTATTAAATATTGCAGATAAAATGCAAATAAGAAAGTAGCATGAATTCTTTGATTCAGTGAGAGGTAAATAATAATAATACTCAACATACACATAGCCGATCACATCAGAGAAGGGCTGTTTGTAGAAAGCTTCATCCACAATCCTAGTAACAGCAGCAAGCGAATGATTAGTCCATCAGGATAACAGCAGGCAGAAAAGAGAAGAGATACATAGATAAAACAGGAGTATCACTGCACAAACAGATCACACAATAGTCCTACTCATTTCAGAAAAAAGACTTTGACTGTATTTTCCACCACATTTTGTAGTTGCCTTGTTTTCTAACATGAATATTTATACAGCTTACTGTGTTGCTCTGCAGGCTCACCAGGACAGTGCAAGGATTATTTTGACAACAACAACACAATTACATTTGTATAGCACCTTTCACGTCGGGAGGACATCCCAAGGAACTGGACAATCAGTGTTTCGGAGCTGAGCTGGAGGTCAGGGTCAGGGAGGGTGGTGGGCAGGGGGGAAGGAGGGTGATCAAAGTCATGGTCGAAGAGGAGGCTCTTGAGATGGGACTTGAAGGAGGCAAGGGAGGGGGCGAGGGGAGGGACTGTAGGATGGAGTTCCAGAAGGTGGGGGCAGAGTGGTTGAAGGCCCGCCCACCAATGATGGAGCGGGCGAGGCAGGGGACATGAAGTAGGCCAGACCTGCTGAGGTAGGTGGGAGGAAGGCAGTAGAGGGCTTTCAAGATGAGGACCTGGAGAATCGGATGCCATATCAACATATGTAATAATCCCTCCAAAAACCCAAAACAATAATAAATTGGTCATTTTCAATCTACGACTGTTTGTGGGACATTGCTGTGCGCAATTGGCTGCCGCGTTCACCCACAAATATACAGTCAGTTCACAGTGTGTTCTGTGAAGCGCTTTGGGACGTCCTCCTGATGTGAAAGCGCTATATCAAATGCAAGGATTATTATTATTATTATTATTATGTGCAAATCCTGTGACCACTGAAGTTATTGAACAACCTGAGACACAATCGTCAAAGGTTTAAGCAGGATTTCCAAATCATTGTAATATCTTCAAATTCGTTGCAACTGCTGCAAACACAGCAAATTACTATTTTCCTGAACGTAGTGGGTGAAGAAGCAAGAGAATACTTTGAGACTCTAGAGAGGGATATGGCAGTGCCACTAGAAGATATAATGAATAATACTAATAATCCTTGCATTTGATATAGTGCCTCATCATGTCTTTGAGACATCTCAAAATGCTTCACAAAATATACTGCAAAGTGAATTGACTGTATATTTTGGGAGCGAAATGCGGCAGCCAAATGCGCACAGTAGTTTCCCACAAACAGTCATGGACTGACTAGTAAACCAAGGCCTATGGAACTGTTCACCCAATATTTTGTAGTATAAAGTATACAGTACACAGTATACATACAGTATACAGTATAAAGGTCATTAAGCAAAACATGGAATTATGGAGCACTCAGAAAATAAATGATAAAGGATCAGATAGTGATTGGTATTAGAGACAACTGAACACATAGCAAGCTTCTAAAACAGAAAGATTTGACTTTTCAAACAGCATTACACATAATAAATGTAGAAGAAATGTCCAAAATACACATGACGGAAATTGAGCAAAATGTGGAGCAAAAGATGAAAATTGAGTAAGTGGCTAAGTGGAGATGGAATAACTTAGATGAGGAGTATGGAGTACAGCAGATATACAGCCCTAAACAAAGGCCAAATCAAAAGGAGACAGGTGAGAAATGCATGCTAGAACACCTTTTCCAGCAATCTCCAGCAGAAGGAAAGGAATGTTATATTTGTAATAGAAATGGCCAATATACAAGAATGTGCAAAAATAAACAACAAAGGCCCGAGAGGTACAAGGGATGGAGAACAATAGAAAAGTCACAGGAGTGAAGAATGTCATGGAGAAGAGAATATAGACGGTCCATCAAACAACCAGGAAGCAAGATTCCACAAGTATAATCAGAGCGAGGTGAATTGTTGGGCATCTTGGATGTGGAATCCGAGATTACTATTAGTGATGAGGAAGAAGAATACAATATTGATGCAATGGGCCTGATAGAGAAAATGAATCTGGAAGAAAGAGAGGAGAAAGAATGGATAATATTGCTATGGTGAACGAAAGGGAAAAACACATTGTAAATTGTACTTAGGAGCAAAAGCAAGTATGATGTCATTAATAATAATAAATAATAACATAGGAGCAAAAGCAAGTATGATGTCATTAATAATAATAAATAATAACATAGGAGCAAAAGCAAGTATGATGTCATTAATAATAATAAATAATAACAATCCTTACATAAAAAAGAAAGAAGATTGAAGTGATGACAAATATGCTAGCACCTTAGGACAAGAGAGGGATTAAAAGACTCAGTAGCCTAGTTTATCTTGTAAGTAACAGAAATCAAGCGACCAATAAGGAAATTGGTAATTAGGGCATTAGTGAGATAAGAGACTTAATAAGACAAAATTCCTGATCAAATTTTTTATGCTATAAGCACACTTCTAAAGATATCAGTAGATACAAACAAAAATGGGGCTGGGCGGTCTTAACACAGGGAGAGAATATACAGGGTGACCAAAAAGTCATGATATCTACCCTTTTATTTAAAATAAACAAAAATATCATCTTTCTTTATTAGACATTGTAATGGTATTACGACTTTTTGGTCACTCTGCAGTAGCTTACTCATCATGAGCATTTTTGGAAACTGAAAAACACACACGCACAGGTAAAGAAAAGTTTAGTGATAGTTTTGATCTGTGAGAGATTCAAACAACATACGGTGGCCCACAAATATACGGTCAATTCACTTTACAGCATATTCTGTGAAGCGCTTTGAGACATCGAGAAGACGTGAAAAGCGCTATATCAAATGCAAGGATTATTATATTATTATAATACGTGTTTGGAAAGATAACAGTGGAGAACGATCACAAGCCATTGGAAGCAATTTTTAAAAACGGCTGAACAAAACACCTCCAAGACTACAACAAGTGCATATACGACTGCCAAAATATGGTCTGGAATTTAAATATAAACTGGAGAAACATTTTATGTAACTGATACACTGAATAGAGCAGAGGGTTAAGAAGACAATGAAGATAAAAGACTAGAAACGAAAATTTACTATAATGTGTGGAAGATAGCAAAAGCAACAAAGCAAGATCCTATTGGAGAGAAAACAATAAAGGAAACCATTACAGAAGAATGTCTTCGGAGGTGAGAAAAAGAACAACGGATGAAGAGAAGGATGAACAAACAGAAAAAGATAGAAGACCAGATGAAAGAGAAACATACACCAGATTGTACACGAATGTGAGGATTTTGAAAGTAATTTCTGTGTGTCCTCTAATGAGCATTGTTGATCATGTATGATCCCAAGGGTAGAAAGTGGATGTGTACCAGGTGGTCTCTCTGTATTCAGAAGTAAAGTAAGGAATCGTTTGATGACTGGATGAGCTTAGAGCAAAAATAGATGAGAAATGTTATAAGCAAAAACGTAAAAGGTAATAGGGCATAAAGATGTAACACGATTGGGTAATGGTTTGATCAGGTGGTATCTGCCAGATTGAGGAAAGGAAAGTTGAACACAACACACAAAATCTTGTTTATCATTGTGTATAAATATCGGGTACTAACAGACCTGGAAAAGCTAGAAGACAAGATGGTACCACAAAAAGAAAAAGTCACTGCTATTCGCTTGTATTCTGGTCTCTGATTATTAATTACTATATACCTTTCTGTAACATTCTGCCATAATAATAATAAAAATAATCCTTGGATTTGATATTGCGCCTTATCACGTCTTCGATACGTCTCAAAGAGTTTCACAGAAGATACTATAAAGTGAATTAATTGTATATTTTGTGGTGAAACACGGCAGCCAATTGCACACAGCAGTATCCACAAACAGTTGTGGATTGAAGTGACCAAATCATTATTATTTTATTTGAAGGAATTATTACTTGTTACCATATATAATTGTTACCTTTACTATTGTCTCTGTGAGCTTCAGTAACTTAGTGCAAACATCCACTGATGATTCACATCAACAAACTTTTGTTTTCCATAAATTGGGGCAAATCATTCATCAAAGCATGGGAAGGGATGTGTGCCCAAGCTGCAGACAGGAAGACGGTGGCAATGCTCTCACACTCATGCTGAGATGTGTTGTCCACCAGGAAGCTCGCAGGGAGTTCCTAGTACCTGCCATTCACCTAGTGAAGGCTCAAACCCGCGGTTTTCAGATGTCAAATGATCAACTAGTGATTATCCTTCTTGGGTGGGAGGTAAGTGGGGTCTCCTCAGAGCTGAACTGGCTCCAAGGTGACATGTTTGGCAATCAAATCTAATACTTATATAATAATAATAATAATAATAATAATCCTTGCATTTGATATAGCGCTTTTCACGTCGGGAGGACGTCCCAAAGCGCTTCACAGAACACATTGTAAAGTGAACCGACTGTATATTTGTGGGCGAACGTGGCAGCCAATTGTGCACAGCAATGTCCCACAACAGTCGTAGATTGAAAATGACCAATTTAATTATTGTTTTGGTTTTGGAGGGATTATTATTAGGCGTGTGGAGTAAGGAAACTTGCCCAAGGTTTCGCCCTGCCTGGAATTGAACTCAGGTCTCTCGCTTGCAAAGCGAGTGCTCTAACCACTGAGCTACAAGACTCGATATGGAATTTATGGAATTAGGTAAACAGGATGTTTCTCTCCAGGGAGAGAATGCACATTCCAGTCCAATAAATATCTCTGGGAGTTCCACGTGTAGGTGAGATGCATGGAACTCTGTTTGGTATGGATACTCTTAAGCATGGTTACCCTTAAGTACAAACACTGGGTTTGTATCAGTTAAGTGATTGTAAAGCACCCAAGTGATTGTAAAGATTGTAAAGGCTGGGTAGTTGAAAGTCATAGATAAACAAAATCAATAAGTTTCATATAGCATCTATAATGTCAGGTGAACAGATGTAAGTTCTTAAAACAAACATTACTGGAGGCAGAGATTCTTCCCATTTGGCTTGTGTTATCCCTGCAAGCTAAAGTCCTACAGCAACTTTCACTTTCACAGGTGCCAAGAAATATGGTTTCTGTCTTCTTTACATTCAATTGCAGAAGGATGGCACTCGTCTATTCTTCATGTCTGCAAGTGGCCAGAACATCAGTGGACCCAGGGTCAAGGTGGAGAAGGAAATGTAGATTTGGGTGTCATCAGCAAACATTTGGAAATTGACACCATGTCTGTGGATGACACCACTGAGAGGAGCATGTAAATGAGAAAAAGGAGGAGGACAAGGACAGAGCCTTGGGGTATGTAGCAGGTGATTCGTCGGAGACAGGAGGAGAAATCATTTGTGGAGACAAAGTGATGGTAGTGAGTCAGGTAGGACTCAAAATAAAAGAGAAAGACAAAAGTCCCACTGAGGTAGATGAGGGAGGAAAGGCAATCGGAGGATGGCATAGTCGACTATGTTGAAGGTGGCTCTAAGGGTGATCCTAACTGGACAAGAGGTAGGAAACTTGCCAGACAAGGCTGCCAATAACAAGCTGGGTCATTTTAGTTGGTTACACTCCATCAACAAACTACTCAAGTGTTGCCTCCTGGCAGCCTGTTTCTCATACATTTCGGGGTGACATCCAGGGAATCGATCCATACAACAACAACAAAATTACATTTATAGAACACCTTTCACGTCTGGAGGACGTTCCAAGGCGCTGGAGTCAGACCCTCCCTTTCTTTTGTCTCCCCAATTACATGGATTGCTTTAAGCCAAATCAGCATTAAATTGTCTGTTGTAATTGTCACACTTGTTGCCTGTCCTACGAGGTTTATTGTTGCTGAGGTTGGCATGGATACTGCGGTTAAAAACAATCTGAGTCCACTGACACCATTGGCTGCACATTTTGTTCTAAAGCTGTTTGGCAAGCATTGTCTTGGTGAAGATTTGAAGTTATATAAATCACCCAGAGATGAAACTGTTCTTTGATTTTTCTAAAGTAAGTTGAATTTAGAAAAATTGGTGTTGCATTTATTTGTTCAGCGAGTTTTCTTGCTATTTCTGTTGAGACTCCTTTGTAATGCTGTTACTTTCCAAAGAATAAAAATGCTTCACATTTTTAGCCTTTAGTCAATTGTCTTAAAATTTAAGATCATGGAGGATTGTATTATAATGATAATACTTGCATTTGATATAGCACCTTATCAAGTTGAAACACACTTCAAAGTAATTATTTTTGCCCTCCATAGTTTCGTCCACAAAATATAGTCAATTCACTTTACAGTAAATTCTGTGAAGCACTTTGAGATGTCTCGAAGACATGATAAGGTGCTATATCAAATGCAAGAATTATTATTATTATTACTGTTAAGTGTAGTGACTATGTATTTTGTAGGTGAATCCGGCAGCCAATTGGCACTCAGCAGTGACCCACGAACATCCAGGATGTGGATCACCAATTTAACTGGAGGATTGTTGGCCAGGAACAGGATAGAGTGCCAGAAGCATAAATAGTTCCATGGGATCTTTAATGTCCTTAAATGTGCATTGCCCAGAAAGCTGTAGAGGCAGAAGCAGATTTCAACAGAAGATGGACATATAGTTCAGAAATAAGGAAATTAAGGAGCACAGAGAGAAGGCTGGGAAATCTAGGCCACTAGGCATGGAAATTTCCCTGTGCCTGGAACGTAGTCAAGACATTCTCCCCAGAAAGACTCCCCAGCATCGTACCTTACTAATTTCATTAAGTGTTTGTCACACGTTGGCAAGAACAAAGGCTTGGGGATCCTAGAGTACATAGGAATGGGGTATTGCTTGAGTTTAACCAGCTACAACCCACCCGGGAAGCGAACCCCAGTCCCCTCGATTGCGAGAACCAACCGCTATGGGTTTCCACAAGCAGCAATGAGCTGAACAATGAATCCATTTTTTGGAAGAGGGACATGTATCAGCCAGACACTGGGGTATAGCCCTCTTGTGTGCAAAATACTATTATGGGATCTTTGACATCCACATGAACTGTTACAATAGGAAGGTGAGGCCTCATTTTAACATCTCTCATCCCCAGAGGATGTGCCTCCATCAAGAGAGCACAGGCCATAGGTCTTAGAATATAAATCTGGCATGGGACTCAAATCTCCAAACCTTGAGCTATGCCAACTGAGCCAAACTGACACTGATTATGAGCTAAGACATCAGGTAGGGCAACTATTCCAAGTTTCTGAAACATGTATGAGTACCTGTTGTTGGTTTTTGTTTCTTCGATCTGTTCTTCCTGTTGTGTATACCAGTCTTCCAGCTCTTTCTTAGCCTTCTCTCTCCACTCAATTTCTGCTTTACAAGAGTTGGCATCTGAGGATTTGAAAGAGGCAAATAAATACTTCTATTAGACAGGAGTTTATTGAGCAATATTTTCTGAAACCTGGAAGTATAGAATTGTGGAAAAATAGAAACACAGGCACATGGAAAAGTAGAAATCAAGTAATATAAAAATAATGGACATAGATACATGCAAACGCATACCATAGAAACTGAGGAACATAGAAACATGGGAACATAAACACACAGGAACACAGACCCCAAAATCCATCTAGATTAGGTACTATGGTGATAGGTTATATACCTGATCTTTTCTAAAATTTATGAAAAATTAAACAATTTGATGATGTTAAAAAAATAATAATCCTTGCATTTGATATACACCTTATCATCTCGCTTCACTGGGTATACTGTAAAGTGGATTGACTGTGTATTTTGTGGGGGAAATGTGGCAGCCAGTTGGGCACAGCAATGTCGCACAAATAGCCATGGTGTGAGTGACAAATTTTATTTGTGGGTTGTTGGCAAGGACTCCCTTCTCTTTTTGAATAGAGCCACGGCATCTTTAATATCCACCCGAAAAGGCAACATCTGCATCAATGTAACACAACCTCAGCACTGCATTGGAGTGTCAGATTGGTCTACGTAATTCCAATTCCCAATGTGGGGCTTGTCTGAGATGAGAGTGCTACCACTGTGTCAGGCAGAAAGTTTTAATATATTTTTCATACACATTAACCTTCCCTCCCTAATCTCAAACTCACTGAAACTGTACGAACTTTGGCATCCGGTTCAAACCCCTGCTATTCTTCCGACCCCAAATGCGGTCCCTGAACAGGACTGCCTTCCTCCATTTCTGCCACATTGCCCGCCTTCACCCCATTTTACTTCAAACACTATTAAATTCATGCTTTCTTTACCACCCGCCTGAATTTTGGCAATGTACTCCTCAGTTCAACAACAAACAATAAAAACAAATGATCAAAAAAGGTCCAAATTATCAAAAAAAACTCTGCCACTCGTGTCCTCACCAGTACCAGGTTCCTCACCCCCATCATCCCACTTCCTTCCAGCCTCCACTAGCTGCCTGTGCAGAACGCATCAATTTCAAGATCCTCATTCTCACTTGAATATGGGACATAACATTTGGTGTAGGATACAATGACCTGTGTGATTGGCACTTTCTCTACGTAATAATGGAAATGTTTCATAAGCGTTTATGTTTCTGAACTGGATATTTGATCAGGCTCTAAGATACCTCCCTATGAGAAGAGTGCTAAGTTATTGTTCTGAAAATTTTCTAAAATTTCTAAAATGTGGAGTCCTGTAGCTCAGTGGTTAGAGCACTCGCTTTGCAAGTGAGAGACTCAAGTTCAATTCCAGGCAGGGAGAAACCTTGGGCAAGTTTCCTTACTCCACACGCCTAATAATAATCCCTCCAAAAAAACCAAAGACAATAATAAATTGGTCATTTTCAATCTACGACTGTTTGTGGGACATTGCTGTGCGCAATTGGCTGACGCGTTCACCCACAAATATACAGTCAATTGACTTTACAGTGTGTTCTGTGAAGCGCTTTGGGATGTCCTCCCGACATGAAAACCGCTATATCAAATGCAAGGATTATTATTATTATTATTATTATTATAAAATGCTTCTAAAATAAAATATTATTCAGGGTCTACTTGGAGCTGAACTGGCTCCAAGGTGTCATGTCTGGCAACAGAATTTCAGAATCGAGCCAGCTCTCTATGGCGGTCTCGGTAATCTGGTTCCTGAGCCAGGCAGGTCTGCAGTATTCATAGAACCGTACAGTACAAAAAGAGGCCATTCGGCCCATCGAGTTTGTGCCGGCTTTTTCAATAGAGCAATTAATGTCAATCCCACTCCCCAGCGCCTTCCCCATAACCCTGCAAACCCGTACTCCTCAAATACCCGTCCACCGCATTTTTAAAATAGTTATCGAATCGGCCTCGACCACCCTTTCAGGCAATGCGTTCCAGATTCGAACAACTCGCTGCATGAAAACATTTCTTCTCCCCTCTGCTTCTTTTAGAGACTATTTTGAATCTGTGACCTGAGTCACCGACACACCCACCAGTGGAAACAGTTTTTCCCTTTCTAACCTATCAAATTCCCTCATGATTTTGAAGACCTCTGTTAGGTCTCCTCGTAACCTTCTCTGCTCCAATGAGAATAATCCCAGTCTCTCGTGCCTTTCCCCATAATCAAGGTCCCTCATTCCTGGTACCATCCTCATAAATCTCCTCTACATCCTTTCCAATGCCGTAACATTGTTAGCATAAGGGTGCAGAATTAACATACTAACAATGGGTCAAAAGGGATGAGAGGTCATGGAACATATGGAGTCAGCACAAGGAAAGAGGTTTGAAGGAAACGTGATTGGAGATGTTATACTCTCATCCCAATCCCTCTATACCGTCCTCCAATCTCTTATCAGTTGTTAATAACCGGTTGTAAACGACTGATAAGAGATTGGAGGAAGGTATAGAGGGATTGGGATGAGAGTATAAAGTATAAAGAGTATAAAGAACAAAGAAGGAAAAACAGAAGGAAAAGATCGGAGGAGCACGAGGGAAGACTTGATGGAAGATCAAAAAGCTTGAATACCCAAACAAGACAGATTGGAACCTCGGCTGCTGAACGTCCCGACCCGCGGTGGTATTGCTTTATTGTAATCCCTCCATGGTGTAACTTTATGGAACTAGTAAAGTTTGGCTTAACAGATTTTGCCTAAACGGAATGCTGGGTGACCTTTCTTGATATCCAACAACATCCTTCCTGTAGTGTGGTGCCCAGGTTATTCTAGTGACCTCTGATGACAGCAGATCACTCATTGGCAGGACTTGGCAGGAAGGGCAGACCAGTCACTGGGGGCAGGGAGTCATCCCACTCAGCTCATGTTAACCCTGCAAGCCAAAGCCTTAACAGGTAGGGTGGTCGTCATTGGAAAAGCAGCAGGAAAGCTTGCTTGACAGTAATATCAATGGCAAGCTATGCAGTTTTAGCTGGTTAAGAGCTAACTCACACTCTAGAATCCTCAAGCCTTGGCTCTTACCAACCTGTGCCTAAAACTTTCCGGAATAAGGTAAGCAGGATGCGGTCCTCCAGGGAGAGAGTACGGATTCCGTTCTAACAATCTATCTGGGATTTCCATGTTTTGGTGGGATGTATGGAAATCTCAGCTTAGTTTCTGCATGTGTCAGATTCCCAGCTGACAACAATAAAATGTTAAAAGTAAAATGGAAACAGAAACAAAGGAACATGGAAACTCAGAACCAAGAATAGAATGGAGTAGCTCAATTTAAACTCTACAAGGATTAGCTTGGGTAAAATATTAACAACAAAGGCCTATAAAGTTATCTGAAACAGTGAGTCATGTTCTGTCAATTCAAATTGTGCAAGTTGTTATCGATAATAAGACATATCAGTTGGTGCAGCATACAATTACGTGTTTGATTAGAAGTTCCTCAAGGTAATAATGTTTGACACTAATCAAACATAAAAGATTAACAGAAGGTACATTCATCCAAGCTCAATAAGCTTCTCACAGTGTTAGAATTTACACTTTTTGTATAATGTTAGAATCATAATAGATGTTGCGAACGGGTTAACTTTTAAGTTAAGTGTGTGGGGGGGCAACTGGACTGAAACTCATGAGTTTCCCAGGATCACGCGAGTGTCTCAAGGATAAGATGTGTACTACCGCCGTGCAAGTACACAAGATAACAGACTGTCTCAAGGACAATGTGTTTGTGTGTGTGAGGCACGTACACTCCATGAGATGTTCACTTGAACCCAGCATGATTTTGGCCAGGTGACCTAATGTCCGCACCATGATTGGATGGACACAAGCTTAAGACACCGTGCCAGACCAAGATCGGGGCGCGCCCAGGACAGTACCTACCGTGGATGGAAGACTGAGAGCTAGAAGGCAGAAGTAGACGACCACAAGGAGGGATTACGCGGTACTATTCTGTTAGTGAATCTATTGATTGTGCTTACTTGTCCACGCCCATCGGGAACTTGGACGGATCCTGGAGTTTAATAAACACCACTCTGGTTGCAAACAGTGGTTGTGTTTAATTGGAACTCGAAAAGGTTTTTCCTTAACAACAGGTCGAGAGGGGTGGAGGGAATGAGGGTGAGGAGGGAGACTGACCGAAGGCACAGGCAAAGAGGAAGATCTTGAGACAGGCCCTGAAGGAGTCAAAGGAGGGGCTCCAAGATGGAGAAGGTCAGGGCAGAAAGGCTGAAGGCTAGACCCCGATGGTGAGGTGGGCAGGGTAGGGGACATGGACCAGACCACTGCTCGCCAAGCGAAGGGAGCAGACAGGTAACATTTTAGCAGGTCACAAAGGTCATGATGATAATAATAATAATAATTGCATTTGATATTTGATAGAAACTAGAGACATGTCAAAGCGCTTCACAGAATATATTGTAAAGTGAATTGGCTGGTACTTTATGGTTGAATTACAACAGCCAATTGTGCACAGCAGTGTCCCACAAACAGTCGTGGATTGAGTGACCACATTTTTGGGGTAAGGGAAGGATTATTACACCCGGAAAGTGATCCACCATTTGACTAACAATCTAGTTCTTACTTACTGCTAGGTAAACATAGATAAGGAAACTTGCCTAAGGCTTCGTCCCGCCCGGGAATCAAACCCGGGTCATCTTGATTGCGAGGAGAACACGACAACGACTATGCTATAGGTCTCTACAATTTTGTGTAAAAAGGACTGCGTTTTTCAACTTATAATGCAGTGCTGCATAGAGTGCTGTGCTTGTTTTAGGCTCAGTGCAGTGTACTCATATTTTGCATGTTTATCAATTTGAGATAATTACTTTATTTACAAGAATAAAATATTTTTCAAACCATGAATGTTATATCTACTGATATTTCAGAGTTCTACCCTTTGATTCCAAAGTATGTGTAACAATGAGGTTCTGTTACCGCATTATATTGCTGACATATTCAAATCCCTCCACTCCTCTGCACCCCCCTACCTCTCTGACGTCCTCTCTCCTCAAAACAGTACCCGGGATCCGTTACTGTGAAGCCCTCTGAGACACTGTCCAGCGTGGAGGGCGCTATATAAATCCAAGTTGTTGTTGTTATATTGTTGAGCCTAAACTTCCCGACAAACTTCATATAGTGTGTGTCTAAAAAGTATATCCACATCAATGACAAAAAAAGTAAATGTCAGTTTTATGAAGTTGATAGTCAATTAAGGCAACATTTTAGGTAGGGGGAGCAAAACCATGGATGGCTTTAAAAGTGAGGGGGGTGAGGATCTTGAACTCGATCCTCTGGGGGTGGGGAGCCAGGGAACCAGGTGAGGTTGGGGGCAATCACCTCACGGAGCTTGGTGCGGGAGAGGACATGAGTAGCAGAGTTCTCAATAATCTGCAGCTTGTGGAGGGAAGAGCAGGGAGTTAGCACAGTCAAGCTTAGATGTGATGAAAGCATTGGTGAGTATCTCTGCGTCCTGAGGGAAGAGCTAGCGGCGGAGGGTGGGAGCAAGTTGCAGAGGTTGGAGAAGGCAGAACAGGTACTGGCACAGATGTGGGGTTTAAAAGATGATTGAGGATCAGACACCAAGGTTCCTTACTGGCTCAGTGAGGTGGACTAGGTATAGTGTGCCTCCTGACGTGAAAGGCACAATACTCCTTGGAGCTGAACTGCCCTGCGCTCCTGCTCTTGATGTTACCAAATAAGCAGAATTCCAGATAAGTTCAATGATGAATATATAGGTGATCTCACAAAATACAGAGAAACTATTTCCCTGGTGGCAGAATCCAGAACAATGGGGCATAATCTTAAAATAAGAGCTAGGCCATTTAGGAGTGAAATCAGGAGGCAGATTTTCATCCAAAGGGTAGGGGAAATAAATTTTAACCACTGAGCCACAGGACTCCACAAATCTGGAACTCTCTCCCCTAAACGACTGTGAATGTTAGATCCATTCAAATTTTCAAAGACTGAGGTGGATAGATTTTTACTTGTTTGGTCAGGGATCAAGGGATATGGGGCAAACAACAACAACTACAACAAAATTACACTTGTAAAGCGCCTTTCATGTCGGGAGGATGTCCCAAGGCGCTGGACAGACTGAGTTACGGACCTGACCTGGGGGAAACAGGGAAATCAAAAGCACGGTCAAAGAAGAGCGTCTTGAGATGGGTCTTGAAGGTGGCAAGGCAGAGGGACTGCGCGATGGAGTTCCAGAGGGTGGAGGCAGAGTTGCAGAAGGCCTGCCCGCCAATAGTAGGGTGAGCAAGGCGGGGAACGTGAAGCAGACCGGAGCCCACTGAACGGAGGGAGCAAACAGGATGGTAGGAGTTTAGGAGGTTACAGGGGTAGGGGGGAGCAAGACCACGGAGGTCTTTGAAAGTGAGGGCCAGGAACTTGAACTGTATCCTCTGTGTGATGGGAAGCCAGTGGAGTCGGGTGAGGATGGGGGTGATAGGGTCACGGAGCCTAGTGCGGGAGAGGACATGGGCTGCAGAGTTCTGGATGACCTGCAGCCTATGGAGGGAGGAGTTGGGGAGGCCGACAAGCAATGAGTTTGCATAGTCGAGCCTCGTTGTAATGAAAGTATGTATGAGGTTCTCAGCGGCCTGTGGTGTGAGACAGTGTCAGAGACAGGTCTTGTTGCGGAAGTAGGGAAGACAGAGCAGGTCATGGGCAGATGTAGGATAGAAAGGATAGTTGAGGGTCAAACAAGACCCCACGGTTCCGGACTGGCTCAGTGAGGTGGAGTGTGCAGCCATGGATGGTGATGCTGTCAGCGCCTGAGGTGTGGAAAGTCTGATAAGAGCCAATCAGGAGAGCCTCGGTCTTGTTGACATTCAACTGAAGAAAGTTGATGTCTGACAGAGAGCCAACTTTCTTCAGTTGAACGTGAACGTGTGTAAATTGCCCCCATGTCTGCGGATGATGTCACTAAGAGGGAGCATATAGATCTGACATCATCCGCAGACATGGGGTCTATCTGATATATAGATATAGACCCACAAAGGCGGGTAATTGGAGTTACAGATCAGGCATGATAGAATGGCGGAACAGGCTCAAGGGGCTGAATGGCTTACTCCTGTTCCTATGTTCCTAAAATGAATGTTCACAGAATTTTTAAACTGGATTCATGACTGGAACACTCACCTAACTCCTCCAAATGCTTTATTTGTTCCTCTCTCCATTTGCGAATAATGTCTGGCTCCTGGTTCTGCTGATCTACCTGTGAAATGGCTGCATAGGCATCAGCGTCATTCTCCTATGGAAACAAATTTGGAAAATGTATCATTGTATTTGTTCTGACAACAAGGGCTCTACAAACTCTATGTTAATCCTTATTGTTAATTATGTCTGCTCACATCCTATGGTATTATAAAAGCTGCAAAAAGTACTTTCTTCAACTCACTGATGCTTTCAGATACCCCAAGGTAACAATACAAGAGAGCATGCCTGAGCAAAGCAATGCAATTTTAGGACAAACACCATGAGATATTTCTGTACACAGATGGTAACTAACAGCTGAAACTTTACCAGGAAGGTATTTGAGACTAGGACACTGCATTCTTTTAAGAAGCTGATCAATTGGGAGTCATGTGGGTTTGCAAAGGACGGGTCATGTCTGCCAGAGCTCTGGGAGGTTATCCTATATGAAAGGTGCAATAAGTGCAAGTTGTTGACTCACATACTTCAATTATTTGATGTAATCTCAAGGTGGTAGATGGAGGCAAGAGGGGCAGGGCAGTATATGCCATCGAGGCAGATTTCCAGAAGGTGTTCACTCAAATGGCAACTTCTATAGGCTTAGCATTTCAAGGGAACAGCTGGACAAGTAATTAGGTAAGTAAGGGAGGTTCGAAGGAATTACCTATAATAACCATATGCAAATAAAACAATCCAAAGATAAGCTTCCTGATTTTGTGACTGTAAAGATAATCCAACCCTTTCATATAGCAACTTTCACATTCAGACTTTGGAACAATAATTACCTTCTAAGTAAAGAAAACCTGCCTGATGTCTGTCTTGAAATTGCCTTTCACAACTCTAAACCTCTGTTCTCTTGTCTTGATGTATTTTAAAGTATTGTTTGGGGATTAACCTATTCCGCCGCTACCTCCCAGGTCAAAATCCTTGATGGTCCAATGCCTTGGGATGTGAAAGGCGCTATCCAAATGTAATGTGTTGTTGATGTTGTTTCCTTTGTCAATCCCAATTAAAATTTTATAAGGTCTCCCAGAGTCATCTTTTCTAGAGTCCTACCCTGTCTAACTCATAGTTGCTCTCTTCTGCTCTACCTTTAGATAACAACAGTAGTACTGACAATACAGGAACAACAACACGTATCCAGGTACTGTTTTGTACTCCAGACCAGACAGTAGACCTGGGATCACACCTTGACATACATTGGAGAGATCACAGAACTATCACACAGAATCACAGAGTGATTCCTGGAAACCCAACATAAACACTCAGCCCTTAGCCCACACCTCACTTGTACTGTCTAACCTGACTTCTGTGTTTCAAACAGGCCAACCACTACTATTGCTACTACTTCTCTACCTAGCAGACAGAACCGAAAACATGATACCCAGTCACTACTCCTCCTCTTTTACTTTCAATAGTCACTTTCTTACTGGAGGTAAATTCCCTCACCCCTGTATACTATACATAGATACAGTAGAATCGATATTGATTCCACTGGGAAGTGTGCTGACCCTCTACACAACTCCAACTATGTCAAAGTTACATCTTTCTTTTATGCGTTTCTAACTTCACCTCCCCTTGTCACAGAGACAGACAGCCCCCACCCTTCGCAGGCTGCTAGCGATCTTTGAGCAGGCTCTTTTCGCATTGGAAAATATCTGATAAGGAGAAAGATATGGGCAACTTTTGAGCCTGCCTGATTCTCTGCTTGAGATAGGCAGGTGTCTGTCTGTAGCCTTTTCTTTCTCTGGTCCATTGTTCTTACATTTCTGCTCAAGGACTCGATTACTCATTATCTCAGAGGAGTCAACATCTTCTCAGGGAAATATGAAATGTAATCAGAAGCTAACCTCAACCGCTCCATCAGAGCTACATTTAACCCCTGCTAAGCTAATCATTCTATCAAACAAACCTTATTAAAGAATTATGGGTAGGTTACATTCTAAATGCATGTACAGATTAATTAAAAGCCTTAAAAAAACATTAAAGACCACAAATATAATCTTATAATGGGTTCCAGCTTTCTCCAGCTGAATATGGAGTCCTGTAGCTCGGTGGTTAGAGGACTCACCTCGCAAGCTAGAGGGCCTGGGTTTGATTCCCAGCAGGGCAAAATGTTGGGTAAGTTTCCTTACTCCGCATGCCTCTATTTACCTAGTAGTAAGTAGGAAACTGGTTGTCAGTTGATTGGTGGATTACTTTTCTGAGGATAATCATTCCTTAAAAAAATAATAATTGGTCACTCAGTCCACGACTGTTTGTGGGATACTGCTATTCGTAACTGGCTGCCATGTTTTGGCCACAAAAGGCTCTCCCTCACCTAAGCATCATCAGCCACCTCCTCTACCTCTACTTCTCCCTCCAAGCTGCCAATGCCCTTATTCATGTCTTCATCACATCTAAGCAAGATTTTTTCAACACCCTACACGCCAGACTCCCCAGCTCCTCGCTGAACCTTGTGAAACCCTATCACCTTGGTAATTCTCTCCACCCAACAAACATCTGCCTGCTTCATGCCCCCTACCTGACCCAACCAAATATTGGTCAGTGATCTTACAGCAATGTAGCTCCTGTTCTTAGAAATTCCATCCTGGAGTCCCTCCCTCCATATCACCACCTTCCAGCCTCCCTTTAGAGGCTACCTTAAGAAATTTGTTTTTGACTATGCATTTGATCCCCTTTCTTCCCTACTTTCCCCAGCTCTCCCCACCCTCCCCTACCAATGGCTTTCATTTGCTCTGTGAAATAGGTTGAGACATCCTCAAATGTGAAAGGTGCTCTAGTGTAAAATTGTTGTTGAGAAGACGAGAAGATTGGGGCAGATGGATTGTAGGTATGATCTCCAGTGTCTGAGGAATGAGTTATGAGCAATGACTAGACAAGCTAGAGTTCTTAGTTTTGAGAGATGCCAACTTAGAGGGGACCTCCTCAAGGCATATAAAAAATTAAATTAAATTACTGAAAAAGTAAACTCAGAACAATAGGGCCTTCTTTATCCAAACTCATCTTGTGACTGAAAGTTGAAGAAGTTGCTTGAAGGATTGGGACACCAGAATTCTGAGAGGTTTCAGAAGCCATGAATCACAAATCTCCTGGAATTCTTTTAGTAGATGGTTGAACTAGTTGGTGAAGGCGATCCAATTTATTTAATGTTCAACATGGACAATTTAGAACATGGGGACAAAGGATCAAGCTCAGAAGACGGGAGGCAAACAGACAGCTCAGGTTTACATTTAATGGGAAATATTTAGAAAGATGACCCATGGAGTCAGTGGAGCCAAATTGGTAAATAAACTCAAGAGGGAATTAGAGTGAATTAACTATTGGGTGAAGATATCTAATAAAAAGCCAATGGGTAAAATGACCAGGAGTTTCCGATCCTTTTTTAAGATTTACAATTTTGTATTCTTGAATTTTTCAAAAACAGTAACTGCAAATTGAAAATTCCAATTAATCCAGCAAATCTGGGTTTGTGAACTCACACATTGGACTCGAGGGATAGCAATGAAAAATTGTAACCACAGATTGGAACTTATCCTGGAGATACAAATGTACAAATCAGATGCTGCAATCAACCCTTTGCTTAATTTCATGAATGGTTAATTTAGTTCAACCTGTTAGATTATAGAAGTTGTAGTCTAATAATAATGAACATTAAACAAATGTAGAATGGAGAAAGTACTGACAGTCATGGGATAGGACACATCTGGTTTTCTCTGTTTCTGAAAGAATAACAAGACAGCTTTGGAAAAGGGCAGAAGGTCACCTCTTATCATAAATAACAAGAAGCCCACAGAGGTAACGGTCCAAGGTACCGGTCGACACAGGATCTTGACTGAGCAATAAGTTGCTAGATTCTGACAGGGCCAACCGACAGAAGGCAACCCTCAAGAATAGCAGCTAACGAGCAAGTTGTTTAAACCAGAGGACCTCGGTACCATCCCAGGATACTGATAAGAAATAACCAGTCACTTAAAAGGAATATACTAATGATCCCACACAACAAAATAACAAGCACCAGATATAGCCCTAAACTGATCGATCTCCTATCTCATATAGGACAAAGGGAAGACCTCGTGGAGACTCAGATTAACCTGAGTACGTGACTGTATCAGAAGTGGGTAGAGGGGCCTTAGGAAGGACACTTGGAGAAAGGGTATAATATGGCACTCTAGGTGAGAACGGTTAGAAGAACAGGAAGGCTCCAGAGAGAGAGAGAGACCAGTGTGGTGAAATCTAAGAATCACAAGGAAGGTGTTCCATGACGTTGTGTGACTGTCTTCAAAGACTGGTAGTATAATTTGTTAGACATTTGTAGTAACTTGTTAATGCATGTTATGTTCACTCTGTTCATAATAAACCTTGCTACACCATATTTGGATTGTCGGGTCATATATCGAACTACGGGATCGGAAATCCCAACAAACCATACATACACAATTGTTTTCAAAAGGTAATCCTTTCTGTCTCACAACAACTACACCCAAAACAATGGAAACATGAGAGCAAGTACAAGATATTTCATGGCTATTTTTTGGGTGTTGCTGTGCACCGGTTCCCTGCCCCATAAGGTGCATAGCCACAGTCACTTTACATGAATCCTTTGAAGGTCACTGTATCAAAATCAAGGATTATTTTTAAAAATAGAGTTGGTTTTAATCATGAAATTAGTTGTGAAATTTAATGTAAAAAAATCAAGACAATTTAAACACATTTCAAGAGTTGTTGTAATAATAATAATTATGGTCCTTGCAAATGATATGTACCTTATCATAATCATTTATAGTGATGGTACTGTTGGGATTTCCGATCCACAGGTTTGAATAATGACCCGACAATCCAAAAAAGGTGTAATAGAGATTTATTGATCAGGATAATAATTACAAAACAGATGGATTAAAAGGTAACAAACTTATACTATGGGTATTCGAAATAGAAGAAGTCTGGTGCCAGCCATACAGCGCAAACATGATAATTCACAATTGATCAAATGAGCAACGTGTGCAATGCCTGAGTACGTGGCCGGCCTCTGATTGGCGGAACTAAGGGGAAGAACCC